ATTAAAGCAGTACAGGTGAACCTGTACACACATAGCCCCGTTGTATTCAATGTAGTGATGACGAGGTTACCAATAGACTCTCTCAGAAGCACTCTTCAAAGGGCTTCATGTGTAGAATTGAGTTTGGAAAAATGGTAAAGGTTGACTGAAGTCCCTGAGCTCCTCCTGTTCAATGATATGGAGCCACACTCCCACTCCTCAAAGGATGTATCCATTAGGTCCAATGTTTGGGGGAGTATTTATGAACAACACGATGACATCTGTACTCTTTTGTAAACACCTTTCCTTTCTGATGTAACGTCAAAAAGACTTTTCCCAAAGCCTATAGGTGAACTTCCATTGTTTGCTGGTAGAAATGACCGTGGAACTTTTTGTGGTGGGAAATCATGTTGTTGGCCCAGTTTGAAAAGGCCTAACGACCGTCGTCAGCTATGGGAGCACATCCCCCCCACAGTGTTTACAGGAAGAATGCAGAAGCTAAGAGTTTGAATGGGACAGGATCACACCTCCACCCCCTCTGGGTCCATCACTTCTCAGAGGAAACACTCTGACCAATTCAGCCTCAGAGGTTCCCTTCTCCACAGGCTTGTAAGCTAAGATGACATTTGACATGAAAGAAATGAGCTTGACTTAGATAGTTGTTGAAAAGGATCTCCATTAGTTTTCTGTTGACCCACGACGATTCAGTCAGTCCAGCTGTTTGAGTACTGTTTGCTTTCTGTAAGGTACAGAGATACCATGAATTCAAGATCAACAGGATTTGTCTTTTTATCTTCTCACCTTATGACAAAATAGGTAAAGAAGTTCAAAGCAGTAAACACACCAAATACAGAATGAACAACCTGGGTAATCACTCATTAAAGGCTTCAACTCTCAGCATCCCCAGCAGTCTGTTATATAATTAGCAGTATATTGATCAAGTTCTGGGCCTCAACAGGCTAAATATTCACTTCTTCTACAAGTGATACTTTGACATTGTGAATGTTGTTGTACGTAATGTGTCTCTGCACAGTGATTGGATGAGAAATGAACATTGTGATTGGTCTTCAGTTAAAACCACCTCTTAACCGAGGTGGTCCGAGACACCATCTTTCACCTAAAAAGTGTGAAAATGTTCCAAAACACAGGGGGTCATTCTCCACTATATGCTGTATGCTTTGGGAACAAGACTGATGTTAAAAACTTCTTTTAAGGTGCTTAAAAGAGCTAATTTGACCATTTGAGGCCTAGCAGAGACATGAAGCCTTTTGACCTGTTTAACCCTGTTGCTCCATGAAAGACATTAAACTGAATATTAAAACAATGACTGATGACAAATTAGATTAACTCTTCTATAAGGAAAGAAGGATTAAAAAAAAGTACTAGGATGAATTAATATGGACAAGAGCACAAGAGATTTTTACTTTTAGCCATAATTCTAAACCAAGCACAACATGCTGTCCTCCAAGCATATAGTTCCCCAGATTTTATGATATACTTACACCAAAACAAACAAAATAAAATAAAACATTTCATGTGCTCTTTGAAAGAGCTCTATGAAAGTATGACAGCAAGACCCCTATGAAATGAGAATATTTAAGTTTTTGGCTTAGAGCTGAACGACATACATCGTCGGAAAGGTCTCATCCTGGAGAGTAACATATGTGAAGATGAGGTTTCAACATGACCCCTGTTTTGAAATAATGCCCTTTGAACCTTGACCCAAGGGCATGTTTGAAGGCTTATACCTCAGCAACAAAAGGGGCTACAGACATGGGAATAACTATTGGGTTGTAGAGAGGTCTTGGAACAAAGTACCATGTGAGGGTAGTCAACTCACCAAAACAACAGGGGGAGCTGCTATATATGGTTAAAATACATTTTAACAAATGTATCAATTATTTTTTAAATATCTGATAACATAAATTTGTTAACCATCCAATTATACTCCCCTGTGTACCCTCAATTAAATATATATTACTTCTTAGGTAAGGGAAACACTGAGATTTGTCTAAAAGACTACAATTCCTCAGAGTCAAGTCATACAGCTTGATACTGAATGGCGCCATGATTGTAGTCTTTTCAGTTTCCAAAAAAAGGTTGTAACTAGGGTTATACAAGGCTTACAAAATATGTATTCACTGAATATGTCACGTATCTTGTGTGGCCGAAGTATTTATTGCATAGTACATATATGATCTATGTTAAAATAAAGTACATATATCGGTTCATTTCAGATATTTTGACTGTTATTCTAGAAACGGGAATTTGGTAGTTATGTCTGGCGTTGTGAAAAGCGGGAACATAATTAGGGTTGTAAAAAATGTCTACCCACTATATCAAATATTTACTAAGGCCGAATGGGTTTTGTAAAATAATCTAGACTATATATATTGTAAAAAGTGATGGTGCTGGTTTATTTCACACAATTTAGCGATTTTTGTGGAAATCGCGTTTTGTTTTGGGAATTCTTCCGGTTTCAACTTTTCATACATAAATATACATTTATCTTTTAAATATATCATATTTATACTACAGCCGAAGTAGTAGTAACGTGGAATATCTGCGAAAATCGTTAAGAGACAGTAAAGTTGATTTTTTTATTTCATATAATTTAGACAAAGGAGGAGTCCAATATGTCGTGCATTACAGCTTCCGCATTACGTCATTGACTCACAGATGGGGAGATGCACAAGATTTACATAGTGTAAATGTATATTAATAGCTATTTTTATGGTGCTTATCTGTGACTAGGGCAATTCTCTACAATCAAGGCACATACCATATGGTTGTGAGCTTACGTTTGTTGGTTGTCCAGTTTTTTTTTTCTTTTAGCAGCAGAAAATATATTTATGGTTGTAGATTGTATTAATTACTCAGTTGACATTCAAATTTGAAAATGCTACTTTTTTCAGTCACCTAAATGTTCGGTGCACAAAGGATATGCAATGCCATGTACAATGTACATTATCTGCTCTAAAAAAAAGTTTTTGAAATCTCTCCTAAATACAGGTTATTTGTTGTGGATATCTTTAAATTTGCACACTTTGAGGGGAAGCATTTCTAATTTAATTGTACAGTTATATACTGACCATAAAAGCTTTCTATTACAATCTTATTGAGATACATAAGACAAGTCCACAATTCTCATACAAATTTTTAAAAGACAAAAAAAAAAACGACACCTCTGCATAATTGACAGTTTATGGAAACCCACGTGCAGTTTTAACTGAACCCAGCAGAATAGAACCACTTATTCGCAAGTTGATCTTCAAGACGATCAACCAAGGGGAGAAGGAGATCAAGAGAGAAGAAATACTCAGTGAGCAAGAGACAGAAAAGAGAGAGAGAGTAGACTTCTTTTGGGGGAAGTCAAAGTTCTTCATCAGAGGAGGGGCTATTTTCCAAGTTTTCTTCTTCATCAGCGGACGAGTAATCCATAGGCACCGTTTGCAGTCCCAAAACATTTTGGTATATTGTACATGCTGCACCCTGCTGCGCTTGAACTACGGACAATCTTCTCTTTAGCATACAGAGTAGCCCCTCACGTCCTCTCTCCGTCAACTCCTCGGTGCTGCCTGACAATAGGACATTAAATTGAATTAAAAAAAAAAAAAAGCTCCAAGCAATTTCCCAAAACTATTTATTGTACTTACTTTGCTGGGTGATGCCTTCAGAAAGCTGGGATGAAAGCTCTTCAATCATACTCCTCATGTACTCCCAGTGCTGCTTGACTTCACGAACCACAATAACCTCCTCTTCTTTCAGTCTGGTCAGCAGCATTACCTTGTCATGAACGCTTTTTTTCTTTGCCATATCGCCATGATCTGCAATTCATCACATTAAAGTGTTATCAATAATCTAACGTTTCTCTCAAGGCATGTGCATCACCCTGGATGAAGACCAGATGAAGCAGCAGACACCCTGGATGAAGACCAGATGAAGCAGCAGACACCTTGGATGAGGACCAGACAGCAGATACCCTTGTTGAGGACCAGGCAGCAGACACAGAAGGTGAAAGGAGCCCCCCACAAAGAGGAAGAGACAGGTATGTTTTGATGACGTGCTGGTTGCATCCTCTCCATCTCCTCCCAACACATTAGGGGGGATATACCCGCTTCTTCTGGCACTTCTACACCACTGGGTACTTCAATTCTTAAATCACACAATCTCACATCTTAAAGTCTACATGCATTGTGTAACCCATTCTATTACTGCGGTGTTAAAATACATTGCATGAATACCTAACTTATCGACATGTGTGAAAAGTCATAAAAGTCAACAATTCATGCATGAAACGAGGGTTGATTCTAAATTTCAGATTGTGATCACGTTTGACGTTTCAATTCAATTCAATTCAAAAAACTTTATTTGTCCCCGGGGGGGAAATTCAAAGGCACACAGAGCAGTAAATTAACAACAGTGCAAGTAAACGAAACATTTTAACCTAAATATAAAGTGTCAATTTAAATACAACTTAAAGCTTAAACTTAAATACGAAATATAAAAGTGTAGATATAAGTGGACAGTGATCGGACTAACAGATGTAAACAGATGTAACCATAACTATGCGCAGTAAACGAGAAATAAATATATATATACAGAGCTATGTGCAAGTTTGTTATGTTAAGACGTGCAGTTTGTTATGTTATTTTGACAGTGTTAACTATAGAGGACGAGATCTGACAGAAGTATAAACAAATAAATAAATGTATAAATAAATACTGGAATAAATAAATAAAATAATGAATAAATAAATACATAATTAAATGCGTGAATAAATAAATAAAAACTGGTAAATAAATGGGACATAATCCATAGTTAACAGTGTACACAACTGCTTTAAGAAAACTTAAGAGTGCCGTTGCAGAATGTAATTATTTTTTGTTGCAAAACACTTATTTTGGTGTTCCTGTCATTTTGTCCATCCGTAGCTCTCGTTCAACGTCGGAGTTATCGCGGGACTTGACATAGAGATACGCTAGCGCCGTGCAACCAACGTCCAACTGACAGAAAGCAGAGCCTGGAGTTCCTCAGCGCTGATGGTGAATAGCCACTGTTGCGGTAACGGGCGGAGGAGAAGAAGCCGCAGAAGGAGTCAGCAGTGGCAGGGAGAGATAGTTCGGAGTCAGTCTTATAGATTTAGCAGTATTACGTGTATCGTCTGATCTTTAGAAACCTCAGAAGGGAAAGGAAGGGAGAAAATAAGGAAAGATGGCGGCCGCGGCCTCGCCGGCCTCCGGCTCGTCCACCTCCTCGGACTGGATTGTACTGAGAGACGGCTGCCTGCGCTGTGACGAGGAGGGCCTGCGAAGCCTTTCCTACCACCCGGCCCTCAACGCTATCCTGGCCGTTACCAGTCGCGGCAGTATCAAAGTAATTGACGGCACTTCGGGGGCTATTCTCCAGGCTTCAGCGTTGCACGGTAAACAAGCACTGACACCAAACCAGCCTCTGATTGTCAACAGACACAAACACGACACAGGATGAGATGTAACCTCAGCTCGCTAACGTTAGCATGTGGGCCTGCTTAAATCATTTGGCTACATGCTTCCTTTTACGTTTAAGTACACGGTCTTTGGAGCAGGATCTTTTATGGTGAAATGTTAACTTACATAAGTGCTTCTTGAACACAAATCTTTGCCACTGTTTCACACCATTTGCAACATGACATATCTACCATGCAAGCTAGTCGCTGGCTAGTCAACTTAGCACAAGGCTAGTTAGCGGGGCAGCCTTCCCTGTCAGTTTCTGTCACTCGAGTGGTCAGTCACGATGTGTCGTTAGATGGGTAGCTCATATTTGACAACATGGAGTAGCAAATCCATTTTGATCTAGGAACTTAAGGTAGTAACAGTGTCATTTTGAATTACTTACTTAATAGCATGTAAGCTAGCTTGCGGTTCTTTAGCTGCTTAACTTTACAGCCTATAGTGCGCACTGTCAGTTAGTGAGGGACATTGGTGTAATGCTGACAGTAAACTGAATTGATGCTGTTCAGTTGGTGGATTGGAAATATGGAAGGGGGGTTTGGGGTAATTTGGCTATTTCACTGTAGTAACAATTCTAAGTTACCACTTGTCTTGTTGGTGTTGCATTTCAGCACACAATGTCCTGTTACAATGTGCTGACAGGACATGCAAGTGTCCGCAATATTTACAAATGAGTTTGTCAGACTGTACTCCACAGTCACTTGGATACCACAACACTGAACATTGCTCTCTGCTGTGTTTACATCCGAAACTCATGGACACAGTTGATGTGATTGTACTCTGAAGAATGGTCTACACTACAGCTACCATTTGTTTACATCTTACATCATGCCAATCCACTGTAGGATGTTAATGTTTATGGAGGAGAAATATTGTAAAGAGAATAGTATCTCCAGCGCTGGCTCTATAGACATTTTTTGGGGGGCTTTTTTGCCCTTATTTACATAAGAAAGTGGATAGACTAGGGAATTGGGAGAGAAGAGAATTACACATGGAAAAGAAGCGACTGGTCAGACTTGAACCCAGGCTGCCCCTTTGGAGGACTATAGCCTCCTTACATGAGGTGTGACCTAACCGCTAGGTCATCTGCGCCCTAGTGATAGTCATAGTTTTTTAATGTTGAATGTACACAATAGTCTTACACAAGGGTAGCTCTTATAAACACTCAACTATTGAACTTTTGTTTGGACTGGTCAAAGTGTTTAAAAGTCTGCAGCTTATGAAGAACTGTTTTAGATTACTTTGTTTATGCTGCCAATTTTTGACTTTGAAAACAGAAAGCAACCATGGGAGGCATATGTTATCAAAGTGATTATTAAAGTGAAACTATACCATGTGTACTCAAAAGGGATATTCAGTCTCACCGAGCTGTTGGATCCTCAGTTTGCTTGCTTCATGTTTACTTTAAATTTCAGATATTTTTTAGTAGAGGCTTTTGTTTTCAAGTTATGGTTATGTCTATTAGGTTTGTTCGTCAGACAGATGTCAGTTGATAATAATGGATACATATATTTTTTGCAGCCTAGTCTTATATTCTTGACTTGGACGGGTATGTCATATCCAGATCTGTCCAGATCCAAAAGAGTGTGAAGTTTGGCACATTGCTGCCTATTACTGCCCACTGTGCTGGGCCTCTTAAAGAAAGACCGAACTAAAGAAAGAATGTAAAAGTCTGACATAATGTTAGGATGGTTAAAAGATTTGTATGGTAAAATATATTTTAGTATTTTGAAGACTTTTCCCTGTGAAAAAAAATAATATGTATTTTACTCCTCACTACACTTAACCTTGTTCCTGCTCCAAAATCAACTGACAGATGGAAAGCTTTCACAAGTCGAAAGTTTGACTCTTAAAGGGGGTAAAGGGAAACCAGTTTATCAGTTTTCCACTCAAACAACTATTAAATGCAGAGAAATTGTCAATCATTGTAATTTCAACATAAAGAACACATTGTTATTGTCTCACTAACAACAATTACATACATGTAATTTTAAGACCAATAAACTAAGTTTTGCATATTTAGTTGTTGGACTGTATGGCCTTGTGTAATTTGCCATGTGGATGAGGCACAGATGCTGACTTAATAAACACACATTGTAATTTAAAGGCAATCCTCTAGATGAAACATGTATCGTCAAATATACCTTTTTAAATCTGTATTGAACCAACATAGTGAATATAAAGACAGGTTACATAGATTTCCTCTAATAAGATCACTGTTTGCTGTAAAGTAAATCATAATAAGGGCAGTGTGACCATCCCCAAGCTTTTCAGGGACATTGCTACTACTACTAAGAAATCTGACGTCATATATGCAGAGTATCTTTTTTTTGGCTGACCATGTGAGGTTTTGAGAGCCATGAAGTGCAGTTTACATTCAATAACTGACTGTTGCATTTATATAGTGAATTTCCATTAAAATTGTTTGAATAGTGTTTTATGGGAACACCTTTTTAAAAAAAAAAAAAAAAAAAAAAAACAGTTTTCACACAACTCTCAAAGTTTAGCCTCATGCTATACAGTACAGACACATTATTGTATCGCTGTGTATTGAAAAGAAACTGGCCATAGTGTGCTTATCACAGTCCAGGGGTTACAAAATAATATATTATGTAGTGAGATACAGCAAGCAGTAATATAGTTTATTCCAATGTTTAAAAAAAATCCAGATATCTGACAACATCCCAGGATGAAGAACACTAACAAAGACTGACTTGCCAGGATCGACACACCCCTTGCTGCATCAGTGTACCATGAAAGGTTTAAAGGGTTCTCGAGTGAGAATGTCAGGAGATTGTTTTTGTGCTCAACTGGTAAAATAGATTCTTGGAAGATTTGTGTTGAGAACAGAATTATAGAAATTAATTATAGTGATTCTAACATGCATGATGTTTTCCCACACCACAATTAAATAAATTATTTGACTTTATACTTAATAAAATAGAAAAAGTAAGAATATAAAACTAAGTGAGTTTTGGCCAGAAAAATCAGGAAAACTTTATATAAAATATAGAATTTAAGACTTCTGTAAGGTTGTCACAATACCTGATATTTAAACTTCATTACATTTCTAGTAAAAATCAAGTGATAGTGGCAGCTTTTCTGACACCACGGCAACAGGAATACTAGTCCTATGCACGCAGTATGTGATTATTTCTTGTTTTTAATTTGAATAAAATGCTTCTCATGAAAACTTATGCACTTTATATATATATTGAACAAATATTTTTCGAAGGTATTTCTGTGTTTGAGACAGTGCTCTGTTTCGCTTGCAGCAGCTTTTGGTTAAAAATATGACTACAGATCTTCACTTTTTTAAAGCTTTGGTACTTTTCCATACTATCACACTTTAGAATTAGAGTGATTGCATAGATTTAAAACAGGTGTCAGCGATTAATGATAAACACATATAGGTACATCTTTAAAAGAAAGACAAAAGAAGATCCTTCTCCTGCAATTCAAACAAGGAACCACAACTACACACGAAAAAAGTTTTTTTTGTTGAACTTAAGTATGGGGTTAAATTCAGCCTCACCTGTTGTGTGGGCTGAGGGACATGTGACCCATATAATGACTTTATCAAGCCCTGCTTAAAATAACTTAAGTGTGCACATACAACAAACAACCCAAAATATGCAAAAATTGGTTTGCATTATGTTGTCTGATCACCTGCAAGGTGTGACACACATTCCTTTGATTCAAACACTGCAGTTAAGAAGCATACAGCCAGTTTTAAATGGTTACAGTCTTTAATCAAGTAATTAAGAAGTGTTTAAAACACTGTTTCAGAACTTATCTACATCCTAACATGCCTGAAACACAGCAAAAGGAACATCTACTTCTGTTAAATATATCTGTTCTAGTTCTGCTTTAGAAAAAGAGCAGTATCTCTTGACTTTCTTTTCATCATGAAGTAATAAGTCTGACCAGCTTTCTAGTTTGAAGAGTAACTGATGTTTATCCACGTAAATGGTGGCAAGTCAGACTTATTTGAAGAAATGTTGGACTAAAAGAGGTTTTCCTTTGTTGTACTTACACTCTACCAGAGAAAATTCCAGGTATTACCTTTAAACATGGCTTCCAGCATTTCTCCTTCAAATTCCCCTGACCCTGTGTGCTGTCCTCTGTTTTTGTAACAGCCAAACCTGGAGGCCGTGTCAGGTGTCAGTACTTTCCCGCAGTGGACAAGGTGCTTTTTGTGGATGACTATGCAGTGGGATGCCGGAAGGACCTGAACGGCATCCTGCTCCTGGACACAGCCCTGCAGCCTCCAGTGGCCAAGCCTGAGGACATGGTTCAGCTGGAGCTGCCGGTCACAGAGGTAAGTCAGGCCTGCACATTTTCTTTACTATTCAGAGAGGAACCAGGAGGCATCTTTCAGAGATTGTTGCTGTCACCTGATATCTGATGCCAGTTGTTGTTTAGCCTTGATAGGTGTGTGTACACTGAGCCTTTTGTTCCACAGTCAGAATATTAACCCTTGGTCGGAATAACTAGCTCAGTCAGAGCATATGAAATCCTGGTTAAATCCTTCGACCATAGTCATTGAGCAGGTGTCAATCCTTTGTTTAACTTTTCCCTTGTAATTTAAGAATCACACTAGCTTTTTCTACTCTTTACAATTTCAAACTGATGACTAGAGGAGTAATATTAAGATTATGAAATGACAGTGCTCAGCAGAAGTTCCTTTTTAACAGAAAGAGACAATCAGATACACACAAATGCAGACATTCATAAAGAGAGATGTTCAAAAGTACAGAGGATAATCATCTATCATCATCATTACCATGTGACGAGTAAAGAACAGTCACAGCTCCATTGCTTTCTTGGTCAAATTTGAGTTTATTTAGTTTTAGTATTTTCACTGAAACTTACATTTGGTAGCACCTCCACATTACCTGAAAATTGGGAATTTGCAATTTTAAACATCCATCCATTCCAAAAGGAATGTGCTTAATTAGTGAACTCAATAATTGAATGTCATCACCCACGTTAGTCTGCACATGAATTACCGGTCGGTCAAACACATTTTGAGTTTTCTCTTGAGTGTTTTCTTACTTTTAGAAAAGTCATGTAGTCTGAATTTAAAATTCATTTTAATTCGACACTAACGCAGTGTTCTAGTACTTGAGTCCCAGACTTGCACTCTAGTCCTACTAGAGCCCGGATTTTTTAGAACTTGTTACTTGACTTGAAATGTGCACTGTTGACTGGGACTTGTAATATAGCATTTACTACATGTGGACTTGGAAGATGGAGAGGAGGACTCCAACTAATTCATAAATAAATAAATACTATTATTAGTTATTATTTTTATTTATGAAAGAAAATACGTAAAGGCTGTAACTTGCATTCACCTGCATACTTGTTCACCTGCCGCCTCGATGAGTTTGTGTGTCGTCATGAAGCACGGATTGCAGTCATATCACTGTGTAAAATTAAAAACTCTGATTAATAACAGGTGGGTTGCAGCAGGTATTTTGGAGTGTATTAGACACCTGCAGTGATCTAACCACAGTAGCAATCAGTGTGAGGTGCACATATAAGTGACACACAGTGCTGTAACTTGTTTAGCCAAACAGCATTCAATGCAAATTTGCAGAGATCAGCCGCCCTGAGAAAGAATCTCACAATCAGCTCTTGAATTTGGCTATAGTGGTAAGTAAGGATCGATCATATATTCATTCTATAAGTGCTTATCTTGTCTAAGTGAAGAAAGCTGCTGAGTCAGCCAGGGTCAGTGGGAGGAGACTTATTAATCATCCTGTCTGGGGTTAATTATTTAATTCAGTGGCTTTGTTTCTTTTGTTGCCATTAATCACTTTGCACAATTATGTTTTCCTTCCATTTGACCTGACTGTATTAAGCTGAGCGTCTTTTAGCACAGCAGATCAGTTGGAAGCATAATTTTCTTCCTTGCCCTTCATCATCACTGCTCTCTGTGACCTTGCTCCAGGATCTGTCCTCACATTATCACAGGCTTTTACTTTGGATAGAATACGTTTTTCAATTTGACTCTGTACAATTATATGGTTTTCCTTAGGGCAATATCCATAAAGCATAGTGTGTAGTAGTGACATGAAAGTCCCCACCTCCAGTATAATCATGTTTTTATTTCTTCAAATCATTTCCTGACAATGTTGATTAGCCACACAGTTTGCTTTTGCTTTTTAACTCCATGCACAGATCCCTAATCATATAGTATAGCAGGCAAGGTTGCCATGGTTACATGGAATTCAAATCGGGTTGCCTGAAATGTATATTTAATGATTAAGACAAATGATATTGTATATTGAAATATGTTAAACACAGACCAAAACAAGAAACTTGCAGAGTTTCTGTCGTTTGCCATCCATTGTGCAGAAATGTCATCCCACAATAATTTACACAATGTAGCCGAGATGTGCTACATTAAAAACCATTACATGATTTAAATCAAATACATTTGAGCTAGAAGCTGTATGTGTTTTGGATGCCTGGGGTCACCAGAGTTTTGTAAAGTCAAAGTGGGGTAACAAGCCAAAAAAGTTTGGGAACCACAATAAAGACTTTAGTATAAAGTAAGCAAAGAGGGACTGGCTCAGTTTGTTATGTGCTGGATTCAATGGCTAATAAAACAAACAACATTTACTTTGCATATTTTACAATTTCAATATTTATCTCAATTTCTGTTTTTATTGTGCCGCCAGTTTGAATAATATCCTGTTTGTTATGAAAGCATGGGGATGATAGCATATGTTTTTATAATTAATAATTGTAAAGTGTAACCCTAACCTTCACACTTTTGTTAGATATGAAACAAAGATTTTCAAAGCTTACTGTTGAAATCGTAAATATGAACGTACCTTCGTTTGTTAACAGAAAAGACAGGTTGCTGGGTGGGGCTGACCTTCTGGCATTTGCTGTCTTGATTTTGTGGTTACATGATCACATGCAGATACACTCTTTCAGTACTGCTTGTATGTTTCACAACAACAATCTTAATTAGATATTTACCTAATAGTGACTGGATTTTAAATTATATATACACTTTTCAAAACAAACCCAACTGAATGTAAAACCAAAATTCTTCCATTATTTCTTTATAAACCAAACAGAAATAAAAAGTGCAACTGACCCTAATGCTGTAATGAATAATGAAAATCTAATTCAAGTGTAGGAACAGCTAGCAGAACCTCCATGGCCAGACAACTTATTAAATCATGTAAAATATTTAAATTGAAAAAGCTGAACTTCAATTTGGGACAATAGTTGTTTAGGCTGGGACAATGAGGAAAAAGTGAATTTGGAGTTCTGGATCAAAGACTTATTCTTGTGTCTCACATCCAAACACTACAGGTGAATTAATACAATAGATCATTTGGAGTAGGGGTAGACCAATTTTGTTTTTTCAGTGCTGAGACAGATACAGATTATGACTAGTTTGTGAGACAGATAATATGCATTTATAGTAAAATTGAAAATCTTTCTGTCAAAATGTAGAATTTGGAATTGTACAAATCCAACACAAGACTTAATTTAAATATTTAACCGGATACTCTCCTCCTACTCCAGGCTGCTCTCCTCTTAGTGCATGTCAGTGGCACCCAGGCTTCAGCGTTGTTTGGCTATTACTCATGTGACCTCTCATCAATCAGACTGTGTTGTGGGCGGGGCATTTGGTGAGACAAAGTGTGGAGTGAAAACAGACCCAGCAGCGGAGCCAAAGTAGAGCATTTTTTAATTCATTAATTTTATCAGTGATTGGTAAAATCCAACTCTGATGCAGATAATTGGCTAAATGCCAAATATCAGCCAGACTGATAATCAGTCGACCCTTAATTTGGAGTGAAGGGAGATGCCTCTTATGAAGTTAATGAGTGGCTGGACTCATAGTATTCTGCATCCACCTACTATTTTGAAACCATTTTGCATGAGCATCTTACCAACACCTGACTCTGGAAGTTATAAATATATCTAATATGTGTATGTGTTTGTTTCCAGGCCCAACAGATGTTGTCAGCCTGTCAGGAAAAGATCGATGTGTCCAACACAGAGGGCTATGAACTCTTCATCAACCAGCTCAAAGAAGGCCTGAAGAATACCTCACACGAGACGGCAGCCAATCACAAAGTGGCCAAGGTTAGTCTTACATCCTTGCTTAATAAAGGCCTGATCTTTGTGTTCAGACAGTGTGACAGTGGCATTAAAGGGTTTTTGGCCATTTGCTGAATAATAGTAATGACTTATGTTTCAGCACGTGGAATATCATGAGTGAGGATAACGTGAGAGAAGCCAGTCAAAAAAGAGAATGCGCCACGGCTCCAGGGCAATTCACAGAACGTCAGAGTAATTTGTAGTAATTAAGAGTCGCGTTTGTGTTCTCCTTCAGTTCTGCAGCTTTTCTCAAAGGAAAAGAAGAGCAGAATTCATTGTATGGTCTTTTGCTGAGGAGCTTTGTTAGACCTAAAGCTTCTTAGAGAAGCTAATAAGCCAATAAAATGAACACCTTCATAATCTGTTGCAATCCAGTGCACCAACCGCCAGAAATTAGATGTTTTGTAATGCTTATGTTTTAATTATTTTTGACTCTGAACTGCTGATTTAGCTTTATTGTAATTTCCAGGCTGTTTGACATGGTGTTTGTTCAGGTTCATGTTGGGGTCTGCTGTTTGACTAACCGGTGTTTTAACATAAAATATTTCTTAATCAGTTTTACCACTGTGTTTTAGAAGGCCTAATGCTACTCTACCTTTTTTTTGTTAAATTAAAAACATTTGTCAATTAAATAACAGGGAAACATATATATTCTCAAAACCTTTTACCATTAAATTGTAGCATTCCTAGGTCATAACTGACTTTTCTATACTCTTACAATCAGTCTGTATTTGGAAAATCATGCAACTCCGGATCAGCGTCACATCCCATCAGCCTCTTATTACCTTTGCTAGTAACTATGGAAAGTTCATGTCAGGGAGTCTGGCGGTGGTTCCTTTTGAATTTAGCAGATAATCGTGCCAGTACAACCAAACTAGGTACTAGGGGAATCTGTTTTGTTGGAACATTAGTATGTAGTGAAGAGTACATTTAAATGGCAAAGTATCCAATGAAATAACACCACACAACTTCACAAAATGTATAAAAAGTAAGGCTGCCGGTTATCGGCCTGACTTAATGGTGAATGAACATACTCAGTTCTCATTATATATAGACTGTATATAACAAGGAAGGAGTGATGACAACCATTGATATTTTAATCCCAGTTTTGAATGGACTTCAAGGGCTTTTGCAACCACCCTTAAGTGTACACTTGTAGAAATACATTATGTTGCTGCTCCACATTGGCTCAATTTTTAAAGACCAGAGGTTGCCGCTTAGCAGTAGGCTAACTATGAGGCTTACTTAACTGAAACATTTACATGCAGACAGCACAAGTAGAACATAACTGTCTATAAACAGCCATCAATGGCTGGCGTTTACACCCAGTCTACATTCTGTGAGTCAGATACATTTTCATTAAATTTTTGTGTAGCCAAGTAACTGTCAAGCCTTGCTTAGAACAAACAATGGAAAAAAAGGGGGAAAATGTTCTATCTAAAGGAGTAGTTATCCCTTTGAGTGAGAGAGAGTGGGGAATGACATGCGGGTAAGGAGCCTCCATACATGGGGCACATGCCCTAACCACTGCGCCATCAGTGCCCCCTTTGAGTGATTTCTTTACAATCAGAAGACGTATGTCTTCATTCTGTAAGGAGGGAGGAGTCCCTGTCTTCCCGCTGGCATTGCTATCTAGCACTGTTACCTCTGCAACAAAACTCCTTCAATACCACCTTGCCTCTTAGGGCGCGGTCACACTGGCCATCCGTACTGTGCCCAAGCACGCTGCAACCCTAAAGTCCAGTTCGTTTGGCCAGTGTGACCGCTCCGTGCCGTGCTCAGGAACGGTACATTTCCTTGGCTTGGCGTGCTTGCGTGGGACGAAACTCTGCTGTCCACGACACAGAGAGCAGAGGAGAATTGTAAACGCGCGACCATGTAGAGACAGAAATTACATGCCGTCGTGTAAATAACATGTATAACATAAGGCCATTTAGTTTGTTAAATGAAAGGACACGAGGTATAGACTTGTTCTATAGGAAAGGTATCCTTATGACTTCTGTTGTGATCTGGCTATATACAAAATAACATGAACTTGACCAGCAAGGGGGGTGGGGCTTGCCCCTAATATAATGGTAGGGGAATCACTGCCATTGCACCTTTTGTCTTTATGACAAAAAAAAAAAAACTTAAGTGATAGTGTCTGGCTTTGTCATTTTATCCACTAGCAACTCAGGAGGATTACAGGACCAGCCTATCTTGACATTTTTTTGTATTCTTTTCAGGAGTGCATGTTTGAAAATTGCTTAACCTGCTGCAGAAAGTAGACTGTTGAAATGTGGTACTCTCTCTTTCAAATCTACTTTTTTCTTTCTCTCTGTGACCCTTTACTTTTGCTTTCTTTTTTCAGTGGGCAACGGTAACCTTCCATCTTCCCCACCAAGTGCTGAAGCTGGTGGCCAGCGCCATTGTCAATGAGCTGAAGAAGATCAACCAGAACGTAGCTGCCTTGTCTGTGGCCTCATCCATCATGGACAGGCTCTCCTACCTCTTGTCAAGCGCACGGCCTGAGCTTGGGGTGGGACCTGGTCGCTCCGTAGATAGGTGAGCAAGAAGGGAAACAAATTCTACTGTATCCTAATCATACTTGGGAGGTTGTACATAGGTTACATGTTTACACGTGTGAATGCTATGTCATGTTGGGGGCAGATGTGGCCTGTGGGCCGCCAGTTGCTGATCTGCGATGTATTTCTTTACAGCTGTCGGTCCAGATAAAATATGTAAATCATTCAATCTTTATTAGTATAGTGCCAATTCATAACAAATGTCATATCAAGACCCTTTACAAAAGAGCAGGTAAAAGATTTTACTCTTTGTTATATTATTTACTCCCAACATGAAATACTGCAGATGCATTTAAATAACTTACCAGGATTATGGTTTTGGAAATATATTTAAAAATGTGATAAAAGTTTAATGCAAAAAAACACAGCTTACATGTTTCAGGCATGTTTCTAAATGTGGATTTCTCTGCAGGTCTTTAATGTACAGTGAGGCCAATAGGAGAGAGACATTCACATCGTGGCCACATGCTGGGTACAGGTGGGCTCAGCCTGATCCCATGGCTCAAGCAGGCTTTTACCATCAGGTAGGTTCTGCAAGGATAAACTGTTTACTATCTAAAACACTTTTTAATGTTTGCATGAGGTCAAAGATGTATTTGCCTGTGTGGTAGAGCAATCTGATTTGCTGTATTAGTGCAAGATTTTCATTTAAAAAATAACGTTAATAATGCAGTTTAAGGTGTAATATTGATGCTTTTATTTGTGGTATTTTTCAATTTGCTACTGAAACTCCAGGATTCTTTAGGTCAAAACTAGACTAGAGATCGAAGCTGTGTCAATGTTTGCCTTATAGATCATGTCTCTTTTTTCACAGCCCGCCTCCACAGGAGACGACAGAGCCATGTGTTTCACCTGCAGCGTGTGCCTGGTCTGTTGGGAACCTACAGATGAACCGTGGTGAGTTCAGATTATTTTCTATGTAAATGTTTTACAAGAATGTCATATCACTGATACCAAACCTTTCTCAATCACCTCCTCCAGGTCCGAACACGAGCGACATTCTCCCAACTGTCCATTCGTGAAGGGAGAGCACACACAGAATGTGCCCCTGTCAGTGACGCTGGCAACCAGTCCCGCCCAGTTTCCCAACAGCCCCGACAGTTCGGACAAGATTGCCTGCTATGGTTTCGGCAGTTGCCCGCAGTTCCTGGCTGCTGCCACAAAGAGGGGCAAGATCTGCATATGGGATGTCTCTAAAATGATGAAGGTCAAAGAATCAAAATCTGAATGCATGAGACACTATTTTGTCTTGTGTTTCAATCTAAAAGATGCAGTCAATTTTAGCATTGAACACATATTTAATAGTATGTCATTGTGTACCCAACAGGTGCATTTAAAGTTTGACATCAATCCGTACGACCCGGCCATCCTGAGGCAGCTGATCCTGTGCGGGGGTGTGCAGAGCCAGCAGGCGCTGACAGAATCTCGGAGACCAACTCTAGCTTGGCTTGAGGAGACATCCTCCTGCTCGGACCTGCCCAAGTTGGAGGGAGACAGGTGAAAACAAACACAGCTGAGCACACGCATGCATTTACATAGAGCATATACATGTAAAGGATAATGTACAGGGAACAGGTCATTGTGTCAGTGAGTAGGAGTGTAGGGGTTTTGTTGTTGCCATAAAAATATTGTTGTTGCTCACTGCATATTAGGCCAATTTCATGGCGTTTGCAGAATAAATGATCAATTTGACACATTCTGTTAATATGAAAATGATTCTTTTGTTTCATAATGATTGAATTGTTTCGCGTGTCAGCCTTAGAACAAAGGTTTGTTTGTTTGAGTTTTTCGCTTCCTCTACTCATACATACAGTAAATCATTAAATACTTGATGTTTTTTATGCAGTATCTTCATGCTGGGGTAACCTGAAGCTGTAACTGTAACACAGACTATTAGAGATGAACTCTCTTGCTCTTACTAACACTGTTCCCTTTTTTCTAGATCCTTGCTTGTGTTGTACTTACTCTCTGATGTATGTCGCTTTGGATAAAAGCGTCTGCTAAGTGAATTGTAGAACTCATAACCAAGTCATGTTTTGCTGTCATCGCTGCATGAAAATTTTAGACACGTTGCTTCTGTTGCACCTAATCACAGCCAACAGTGATTACATGATACCTGATAAATGCAGTGTGTATTTTACATACATATTAGGCCTGCATGCCATCAGAAAAATGTAGAATGTGTGAATCCTTTGTTCAATATTTGGATAACAAAATGAAGAAAAAAGACAGTTAATTACAAAATTGGTGCCAGTTAATCTAGTAGTTGATATTGCTGATAATAACAGCTGATAATCTGTACTGCTCCAAAACCTGCTTACAAAATATGTTCTTCTATCACATCATTATGACACGTGATGTTGACACAAGAAAAACAAAAACAGTCTGGATGAGTGGAAAGTGTGGGTGGTGGCATACTGTGACACTGACACTCAGTCCCTGTTACTCCTTAGGCCTCATGTGTGTTGTTGAGTGAGTGAGTCACAGCTCAATGTATGATTGTAGTCACAGTTTATAACCACTTCTTTTCTTCTAGTGATGACCAGTTGGAGGATTCCGACAGTGATGAGCATTCCCGATCAGAGTCAGTAACAGGTAGGACTACCATATTTCGGTCATGTTGACAATATCTTTTTCTCTCTATGTTGAGCTTCCAGGCTCATTGCATTATTCATCATTGGACAGGAAAAAAAACCTCAGACCTTTTCCTTTGCTTCTGTTCCAGGCCAGCAGTCCCAGTGGGAGAGCATGGATGTGAACCTTGGGGTGACGGCATTGAGTGTTCTTCAACAACCAGAGAAGCTCCAGTGGGAGGTGGTGGCCAGCGTGCTGGAGGACACAGTCAAGGACCTGGAGGAGCTGGGGGCTAACCCCCCAATGAACCAAGCAAAGTCTCACAGTCAAGCAAAAGCAAAGGACAAGGTCACTGACCACCACAACATTCCCTTCCCCTGCCTACTGGCTGGAGGCCTGCTTAGCTACCGCTCACCATCCAGCACCCCCATGGCTGGACCCCCACCCACAGCCCCTGCTACAGCACGCAGGACTGCAGATGGCCCCCTCAGAACTCATGGCCCTGAGCCCTTTCATCCTGGTCCTCTGCATGACCAAGGTCCCATGGAAATAGAATCCTGTAACCCCCAGACTGCAACCCAGGAGCAGGGCTTCTCTAACCTAACAGGTTCCCATCCTCCAAGCCCCTCCTCTCTGCCAGCGGTGCGCAGGACTATACCTGTCCTTCTGTTGTACAGTATAAGAGAGGTGGATGACAAGTCCTCTGGACAAGTGTTTGCTCAAATGAACAACCTCATGAGCAAGGGGCTCCATGAGGAGGGCTTTACTGTACCGCAGATTATAGAGATGGAGTTTGACACACATGAGCAGCTCCTTCTTCAGGATCCTCCAATCACTTATATTCAGCAGTTTGCTGATGCAGCAACTAATCTTGCAGGGTTAGATGGACACGTGGACAAATGGAGCACGCTGGCTGCTTCTACTGTCTCTTCCCCGCCCCGTCCTGGAGCGCTTGTGCAGTGCTTGAGGATGCCAAAACAGCTTGAAGAGGAGAATCTATATGTGGACTCCATCACACCCTGCTCGGATGGTGTGCACCTCCTTGTTGGCCTTCAGCCCTGTGGCGCTGAATCTCTCAGCGCTACAAACCAAGTGGAAGCTCTCAACAATCTCAACCGCCTGCACTCTGCCCTGTGTAGCCAGCGAAAAGGAGACCCCCTACATCCAGTGGCAAATGGGGTGGAAGGCCACCACCCAGGGGGGTCACCACCTCAGACGCCCCTCATTCTGCCCCCAGGAGACCAGCAGCAGCAGCAGCAGCAGCAGCAGCAGCAGCAGCAGCAGCAGCAGCAGCAGAGGACCCCAAGTGGGGGGAGCGGAGGCTTTCTTGCCCTCTACAAGCTCAACTACTCCACCCGTATAGTCACCTTGGACGAAGAGCCAATCAAAGTGCTGCAGATCTGGGACCCCTCTGATGCAATTACTTCTCTTATTTTGCTTCCTCCAGATGTGCTTGATAGCAGGGAGGATGATGGCGAGGAGGCTTCTGAGGAGACTCTCCCCTCTGTGTCAAAGAACGGCTCCTCTGTGTTTGGAATACGTCCAGTAGGCTCTGTTGGAACTGAAATTGGGACTGCGTGTGGTGCAGCCACAACCAGCAGTAGTGCTAACGCCACCAGTCCCTCCACCTCTGCCTCAGGCCACAAAGAGAGCAAACGGGTAGAGGTAACTGGTCTGGGACACCTGGTGGTGACCACAAGGGCAGGGTTTATTATGATACTGGACCTGTCCACGTTGGAGGTCATGGCTAAAGTGGAGCCACCTAAAAAGGAGGGTTCCGATGAGATGGACCCCTTTGTCTCAGTAACTTATTGCTCTGGGACTGACCGCCTTTGTGCCTGTACCAAAGGTGAGTGCATCCTTGACAAAACCAGTATTGTAGGACTGTAACATAGGTTTTCAGTTATTGTTAATGCTCCGAACTCATGTTTAGCTGGGCCCACTCACCTCCGTTCAAAATATGTGGCAAGTCTTATTTTATGTTGCATCTGTAAAGCTGTGCCCAGCTATGCTGAGTAGATGAGCAGAAGACAGGCTAAAATAAACACATGATATTTTCTTAGTATCAACTCTTCAAAGATTTGTTGACAATAAGAAATTCAAAGAATATATCTCCAGTGTTTCTATTCAAACATATTAAGAAATTTGCTAAAGAAATGCTAAAGATGTTTACTGTGTAGATATGTATAGCTAGTCCACCAATAGAGGATACTAAATGTATATTTATTATAAGACTGTGTAAGTGTAAAGTCCAATGTGTCATCACTGGATTCTTAAAACTCTAAAACAATAATTATCAAAAGAAATCTCTGTCTTCTAAGAGGTAGTTTCAGGCCTGCTGTGAAACACATGCTTTCTTAATGTTGCATATTACATCCATAATTTGCATTAGTTCAGCAGTAGCAGGTGCTTGAAATATATCTACATATAAATGAACTTAGGTCAGTTAAAGTAATAGGATGATCTGTAGGTTTTGACTATGTTTCTCCTCTCCCCCAAAGGTGGAGAACTTCATTTCCTTCAAATTGGAGGTGTTTGTGATGATATAGATGATGGAGACATGTTTATTGATGGCCCCCTTTCTAAAGGGGCTGAACTGCTGCTTGAGGGGGCCAAGCCCTCCTCCAACCCATCTAGTCCTGGGATCACAGGTAGAGCTGACATAAGAAACCCTTGGTCATTTAACCTCAGACCAAATGAGGACATTTTATTCCAGTGTTCTGTTTACTGGCCTCTCTGTGAGGCTGGTCATCTGATGGCCTCGACATTGTCCTGCTTTGTATAGGAGTGGACCTCCTGGTCGATCAACCGCTGACCACAGAGAGCTTGATGTCGCTGGTGGAGCTGACGCGCTTCGAGACACTGACCCCCCGCTTCTCAGCCACAGTGCCCCCATGCTGGGTGGAGGTACAGCAGGAGCAGCAGCAGCGACGGCACCCACAGCACCTTCACCAGCAGCACCACGGAGATGCAGCCCAGCACACCCGCACGTGGAAGCTTCAGAGTGATAGGTAGCTTTCTTTCTTTGTAACTGTCTTGGTATTTTCAGGCAAAAAATAGCAGGTAGTACTTGCACAGGAACAGGGTCTTTTAATGTCAGATTTTACAGGTAACACCCTCTAGGCATGCATATGTATTTAATTTTTTCTCACGTATTGATGTTTTTATAGACCTCAGGGAAGTACTTCTCCATATAATTGTGGCTAAGTGGCTCAACAATAGGACAGTAGTTACTAATGGTGCAACAGATCGGAGTCAATCCGATCACCACATGTGATTATGAAAAAAGAGCCATGGAGATCCACTGTAGAAATAGGATGACAGTTCAGTCCATCAAACATATATCAGTGCAAGGTTTTTGTGGACTTTCTTACAGAAAACAGGGTCATAAAGGGTTGATATTTCATATGGTTACTTTGTGTCAAATAGCGCTTCAGCTTTTCTCTGTTCTCTCTCACCATATCCACATTTAGTATACAAGTATCAGCTGGTGGTAGCTCGTGAAAACAGTCAGTAAAGTTATCCTGCAGCCTGCTGTAGTCTGGATCTGTTAACTCAGCCAAACAAACTCCATTACAATGTGTGTGCAGAGTGCTATGTTTGGCCAAAAATGTAACCTTAAGTCCTGAAACGCTTGCACCCTGTCTGTTTTCTCTCTCTCACACAACACACACTGCAGGTGCAGCCTTAATGATCGTTGTGTGTATGTAACATGTTCAACATTGTCAAAGCTCATACAAAATTGTTGTGTTTGTAATCTTGATGTGGTTAGTTGGGTGGTAACAAATACTGCTATTTAAATTACGCCTGTTGTCCTCAAATTTTTAAGGAATTTATTAGAAATATGTTTGGGTCGGTCCCTATAAACAATATACTCAAGGATGAAAGTCTGTGATCCAAACAAACAGGGAGATTTTTGATCTTTTGCACCACATGTAGTTACACGAATTATGGAAACATTTTGGAAACCATACTCTTGAGATGTTTACCAGAGAAGTAGTTCCATGTCAAGGCTCCTTCTATAATCACTCATGTACAGTACAGTGCTGTAGTTAAACGTCTAAGCTGTTGGTGACTTGTGATCCATCTGTAGCTCCAGCTGGGATGAGCATGTGTTTGAGCTGGTGCTGCCCAAGTCCTGCATGGTGGGCCACGCAGACTTCAAATTTGTCCTGAATGCCAACATCGTCAACATTCCTCAGATCCAGGTCACTCTACTGAAGAACAAAGCCCCCGGGCTGGGCAAAGTCAGCGGTGAGGATCCTCCTTTAAGATAGATTTTTCATGAAAGCTTCTCATTTCTGTACCTTGTATATTTGTATACGGGACATCATATTTGTTGGGGTTTCAAGATGTAAATTGTATGTAATTTCTAAATATGAAGCTTTTATCTGTCTGAATATTTGCTTGTTATGTCTTTAACAGAGACTGCAGTGGACAGACAGATCTCATTCCCCCTCTCCAGCGTTCTCCATGCCAATGGAGAGAGGAACGGCCAGCCTCTGCTGCATGACTTCTCGGAGGACATCCAGTTTATGGACATAGAGGACACATCAGGTAAAGAATGCTCTGTGTTGCTAACATTTCATTTGTCTTCCAAACAGCTGCTGTTCACTTAGAGCATTTAATTAATTAAATGTAAATATATTCATTTAGTGGCTTTACCCTTGTGTAAAAAACAAAAAGCCAATAAACTGACCTAATATTTCTTTATTTGTGAACTGTGTTTGCATCTGTAAACATTTCATTTAAAAGGTTAGTTTGTGTAGGTTAATTGCTGGAATTCATGCCATGCAGACAATTTTACCTATTTTCTTTACAACAATAAGGAAGTAAATTGTTGAAACTCACTGTTGAGTTCTTAATCTACCAAACCTTTATAAATAAAATTGATGTGTTAATATTCCTACTCTAAGCAAAGCTTTATAGAGGGAAGTTATTTTGAAACATTCTGACAATGTAAAATATGTCTGATCTCTACCCTGGGTAAAATATTTTGTCGTTTGTTTGCTGTAGGCTCCATGCTGTGTCCATTTCTAGAGGACCACAAGGAAGACATCCTGTGTGGTCCAGTGTGGCTGGCCAGTGGGCTGGACCTCTCTGGTCATGCAGGCATGCTTAGCCTCACCAGCCCCAAGCTGGTCAAAGGTAACAGGCACATTGACCAGTTTTCTGCTAAATCACTCACTGATTCCTGATAATGAAGAGTTTATGCGGTTGTAAGTGTGTTTCTCACCTGACCGGTTCTTTCTCTGGTGCAGGCATGGCAGGAGGGAAGTACCGCTCCTTCCTGGTTCACATCAAAGCAGTGAGTGACAGGGGCATGGAGGAGAGTCCTCGGCCGGTGTTAAGAATGCCCAGTGCCAAACCTCAGGGCACCAAAGCCCACTCGCTGTCTACACTGCTGCAACGGGCCCAGGCCTCCAAGGTGCAAAGTCACACTACTTTTTAATTTTTTTTTTATTTAAACATCAACAGGTCTTTCTTTTTGGAGGTCTGCCTGAAAGCATTTACCACATAGATGTTATTTCTTATTTTTGAAGAGGGACAGTGTATAAGAACATTTCACAGAAATAAATGAAATGGGCGTGCCGGACAGCCTATCTGTTATGTCACGACCTCGACCCTTAGCTGCATGTCATCCGCCCACTCTCTCACATTTCCTGTCTCCTCGGCTGTCCTATCTAATGAAGGAAAAAGGCTGAAATAAGAATAACACGAAAAAAATGAAATAAATGAAAGGAGGTCATGGAAAAAGAGATGTCATGATAATTTGCCCAAAAGACATGAAAACGTCATGGAAAAGTCGTGGAGATGTATTGGAAGAAATGTGTCTGAACCCTCTACAGTGAATGCACAACAAATGAAAGCACAGAAAGGCAAAGGACGTGTTATTATTAATTATGTAGACATGTGTAGCGTGTCCAGTGAAAGTTTCCCCTTGAGTCATAGTTACAGTCTTTTTAGTGTTATAATTTCCTCTTTGTATTTCACCAGTCAGTGTGTCATTACTGCAGTGAAGGTTTTTTTTTTACTGTCGTACACAAGGGTCTTTATGTCCTAAACACAAAGTAAACTATTGAAGATATTTGCTTTATTTGACTAAATCCTGGTTGAGAAAACCTCATGGTAATGTTGAAACCAACTTAAGAAAAGACAAGTCATTAAAACATTTTTTTTGCACTAATCACTCACGTCAGAATAATTTAAAAAATAAAGCCATCTTCATCATGAGAAATACTTGATGATCTCTGTCCTGAACACACATACCATCTTTCTTGATTATAAACAGAAGGAAATTTTTTGGGATCAGGAATGTAATGTACAACCCAATTACACAGTCACATTTATTTGTGTTTTGTATGTAGTCTGCATGAGTTGATCTGAATGTGTTTTGATGTAGGACAAGGTCTCTTCAGTGAAAACGGAGAGCTCAGCGCCCTCGAAGAAAGTCGAGAACTTGCGAGGATGCGACCTGCTGCAGGAAGTTTCTGTCACAATCAGAAGGTTCAAGAAGACATCAATACCCAAAGAACGGTCAGATTCCTTTTACCCCGTTATCAAACCTGTCATCATGAACACTAAACAGTCAGAGTACACAGGCTGTGGTAAAACAAACAGAAACAGAACATTTGGTTGGTTTAGTGTTTTTTAGGGACACACATTCATCAGAAAACAGTCTTTCCTTGGTTTTTCTGTCATGCTGATTGCCAAAGTTAGATAACAACCTGATTGTCTTTAACATTTTTCATGATGCCTTTCAGGGTCCAACGCTGTGCTATGCTGCAGTTTATGGACTTCCACGAGAAGCTGCTGGACGCGCTGTGTCGAAGGACAGAGGGCAGCGCAGCCACTGAGCATGCACAAAGCCTCATCCTAGACATCTTGTGCTGGCTGGCTGGGGTTTTCTCCAACGGTCCCTGCGGGTATGACCCAAGCATCAGCACAGTTCATACATCATCATTGATCAATCAAGGTGGAACAATGGTCACTTAGACAGTTTACAAAGACAGCTAATACTTTGTGTTCTTTTTGTTTTTTAGCTTGAGAGAGGGGAAGGAGGGCCTGCTCGCAAAAACCCGGACGCGACTAACGGATATTGTACGGATGTGCTTCTTTGAGGCAGGCCGGAGCATAGCTCACAAGTGTGCTCGCTTTCTTGCACTTTGTATTAGGTAAGAACCCCAAACCTAAAGTTTCTCATACCCTGAGCCTGAATGAAATGTTGTTTTGGAGGCTCTATGTTCTGGCTTTTGTATCCACAGCTTGAAAAGTCACTTTGGTGAGAGCAGTTCTTTTTTCGAATGAAACACCAAATTAAATGAACCGAGGGCCAATCTGATATAGGAGCTTGACAAAATGAATCAAAAGATGTGCTTTATTTTTTAATTTAAGGTAGTTTATCTACCTGTAGTGTTCTGTAGATTTGACAAAAGTTTTCATGGACCGTTTCTTGTCAATAAAACTATTTCATTGGATAAAAGAAAGTTAACAAGGCAAGAGACCAGCTCCCTCACCAGGGTGGCTGTGTTCCTTGGGACAGGTATCATGCCTATAAGGATGCCCTTGCAACTGCCTAGGTAGCATTTTTTCTCCTTATTGTCCCTAAGAAAATAGCCACACTGTTCAAAGAAGAGCTAAGTTGAAACCTGAATAAACAAAAGCAGAGAATGATTTTTGTACACTCAAGGGCACATTGACACTAGCAAAGTTGTTCCGTACCGTACATAACTGAGTTAATCAATGGTTATGTCATGATAATAGAAAAGGCCTTTGTGATGATTACCAGTAGATGTTTTTTTATTTTGTGTTTATATGTAGTTGATAAATAACGTGCTGTACTTTTTGTAGCAATGGGAAAGGGGACCCCAGTCAACAGGGTTTTGGCATGAGTCTGCTGAAGGCTCTGTTGGACAATATGCCTTACTTACCTGCAGCAGCAACAGGTGGTAAGTGACTGAAATGAACAAAATGCAGTACATGTGTTGTTTGGCTCCCCTGTGTTTCTCATTTTTCACCTCTCTTTCTGGTTTCAGGCTCTGTGTTCTGGTACTTCGTGTTGCTGAACTATGTGAAGGAAGAGGACATGGCGGGCTGCAGCACCGCCTGTGCCTCCCTGCTCACCGCAATCTCTCGGCAGCTGCAGGACCGCCTCACCCCACTGGAGGCACTTCTGCAGACCAGGTATGTTCCCAACTTTTCAGGTCAATGATAGCTTACAAATATTTTTTTTCAATTTTAGTATTTAAGTAATACTCGGTAGATATAAGTAATTCAAGCTACCTCTGTTTATACAGCTGGGCATTGCCTCTGTGTTAAGAGTCCTCGCTTCCTCAATATTTCTGCTTAAGTCTCTGCTCTCCTACCTTCTGTCCACTCTCCCACAGGTACGGCCTGTACAGCTCTCCATTTGACCCCGTGCTCTTTGACCTGGAGGTCAGTGGTTCCTCCTGTAAGAATGCCTTCAACAGCAGCATCGGAGTCCAGTCAGATGAGATCGACCTCTCTGACATTCTCTCAGGTATTAGCTATGCACTTATTCAAATCAAAGAGGTTACAATGACAGATTAATAACATATGATCAGTGTATTGAATTGAAGTAAAATGCTGACAGAAGTGTGGCAATTTAGTGATATATTTCAAAATGTCAACCTGTGTTAGACATGATCAGTGCTGAAAAAATGGCTTTGTTTTTATGTATGTAGTATGTAAATTGAAATACTTCTTCCTCTGTTTTAAGAGTAAATGGCCAAAGCTGAGTTGTTTTCTTCCCTGTTTTCCGTTACTCATGCTGTGTGCCCCGCAGGGAATGGAAAAGTGAGCAGCTGTGCAGCAGCAGAGGGCAGCTTTACAGCTTTAACAGGACTCCTGGAGGTGGAGCCTTTGCACTTTACTTGTATCGCCACCAGTGATGGCACACGGGTGGAACGAGATGACGCCAGCATGTTCACTGGTAAACAATTTTTAAAATACATTTTGTTTTGAGTCTCTTTAGCAATGCCTGAACTTCTCTTTTTTATCCCCAGTGAGTACATTTGGCGTGACGCCGACTGTAGGTGGCCTGTCAACAGGGCCTGTGGGTGAAGCTTCCACAGCCCTCAGCTCTGCAGCCCAGGTGGCGCTCCAGTCGCTGTCCCACGCTATGGTTTCTGCAGAGCAGCAGCTGCAGGTCCTGCAGGAGAAACAACAGCAGCTACTGAAGCTACAGCAGCAGGTCAAAGCCTGAGTCACACACAAATCCTCACTTAGGATTTCCCTTACCTGGACAGTATAAGAGGGCAAACAGGAAGTCAAACCCAAGACGAAAATCTGTAGACTTTGTCAATTCCTGGCTCAGAACATCTAGATGACACAATCCAAAAAGTCCCTTTTTAATTAAAAAAAAAAAAGGGACATAACAGGTAGCATAAATTCAGGGAGGCGAAGGGATATTTATGGGTTGTTAAGTTCTTACAATGACAACGTCATGCTTGAGAACTATAATTATTATGTAGTATAATCTAAATAGACATAAATTCACAAAAGGATGTAAGAAAGCCCTTATTCATTTTTTGGCAGCAATCAAAATACCTGGGGATTAAAACAATCTGCTGACTGTTTCAACACTGATTCTTTATTGTTTTATAGCTATCCTGTTCTACCCCGCCCCCTTACCATTTAACAGCACTAATAGCTGTTATTATACCAGTTTTGAGCTCCTATGTTGTGCTTAGTAAAATCTCTTTTGTCTGTCCCACGTACAGAAGGCCAAGCTTGAAGCCAAACTGCATCAGACCACCTCTGCTGCCGCCGTTGCCTCAGGTGTGGGGCCCATCCACAACTCTGTGCCTTCCAACTCCTCCTCTGCCCCGGGCTTCTTCATTCACCCCTCCGATGTCATCCCCCCAACACCTAAAACCACTCCCCTCTTCATGACTCCTCCCCTTACGCCACCCAATGAGGCAGTGTCAGCAGCCTACAGCGCTGAGCTGGCTCACCTGTTCCCTGGCTCCATGATGGACCCGGGGCCTGTCAACCTTGCTGCACACAAGAACACACACAAAGCCAAACCGGTTAGTGACACACTATCAGAATCAATTTATTCTATATATTTAATGAACATATAATTGCAGTCATAAGCCCTGATTATGGTGTCAGGTGCTACTTCAATGTGTACACTTGGGGGAGAAATCAATCACTGGTTTATTGATGAGATCTTAAACTACAACAGCTAATGTATATTGTACTTTCTTTCTTTTTTTTTTAATTAATAAAAGAAATTCATTTTTTTATTGTGATTATCTTATTACCGGTATATGTTTCTACTTCAGAGCCCCATGGGTAGTGGTCTGGCTTTGGCTATTTCCCAGGCATCTCACTTCCTGCAGCCTCCTCCTCACCAGTCCATCATCATAGAGAGGATGCACTCTGGTATGTCATTTAGCAATGCTACACTTTTATCACCTAACTTTTAAAGTTTCAATAAATGTTTGAAAAAGGTTAGAGGGTTAGGTTTGTTTATACATAAATCATCAGAAAGTTACATTTGTGTAGTTTCTTCAGCTTGATTTATTTTTTATTTTAAAAAAAAGCAAATTTGTGGCTAAGGGATCTTCCTGTTTCTGCTGTACTCTTGACCAGGAGCCCGACGCTTCGTCACGCTGGACTTTGGCCGCCCCGTGCTCCTAACTGATGCTCTCATCCCGACGTGTGGTGACCTGGCCTCGCTGTCGATCGACATCTGGACGCTGGGGGAGGAGGTTGATGGCCGCAGGCTGGTGGTAGCCACTGACATCAGCACCCACTCTCTCATTCTTCATGACCTGCTGCCACCACCTGTGTGCAGGTTCATGAAGGTTAGTTATTTGTCTTAATCGTCTTTCAATGATTGCAGGAAGACCTGATGTATCTGAGTATGGCACTTTTGTTAATCACAGTAATGTAATCTCTTGGTTAATGTCCTTCTCTTTTCAGATCACTGTCATTGGGCGCTACGGCAGCACCAATGCTCGGGCAAAAATCCCCCTGGGCTTCTACTATGGACACACCTACATCCTTCCGTGGGAGAGCGAGCTTAAATTGATGCATGATCCTCTGAGGGGGGAGAGTGATGCAGCGAGTCAGCCGGATGTGGACCAGCACCTGACCATGATGGTGGCGCTGCAGGAGGACATCCAGTGCAGGTAGAGCTTTAAAAAAAACTGCATTCTCAGTTTGTAGAGTTTGACTTACTTTGTTCTTTATGAATTTATAATCTGTTACTTAAATAATTTCAAGTAAATGTAAGAAATTGTTACAATTATCTTATCAAAAAAATCCTCGGGAAAGAACGACATCAACTATTTTCTTTTTCCTCTTCCTTTTTACCCATTGCTTTAATTTTTAAGAAATAGACTAGGGCTGTCAGCATTAACTAGTTAATCGTGATTAATTAAGGTCTAATATTAATGATTTTTTTTTATTGCATGCTATTTTGTCTCTTTAGGCACACTGTAGATTAACCTTCGCAGTGTTTCACTACAGTCACAGTGATGGAAAAGTATGACACCTCTGAATGTCTCATTTCACCCTAAAACTTAGCAAAGGCTTACCAATTTTCTTTCAAAAGCTTTTCACCATATTTGTTGGCCAGTGTTTCTAATAGGAGCATGTGGTTACTTATTAGACAGACTCTTCAGGAATGTATTCATTCATATTTGCTGATGTGAGTTTTAAAGCGCACATGTTCCTCTGTTCCTGTTCACTAGGTATAACCTAGCTTGCCATCGCCTAGAGACCCTCCTGCAGAACATCGACCTGCCGCCTCTCAACAGCGCCAACAACGCTCAGTACTTCTTACGAAAACCAGACAAGGTGGTGGAGGAGGACCAGCGGGTTTTCTCAGCCTATCAGGACTGCATCCAGCTGCAGTTGCAACTCAACCTAGCTCACCACGCCGTCCAGAGGCTGCGGGTGTCACTGGGTGCCGGCCGCAAGTCTCTCCCCTCAGCTGGGGCGGCAGAGACCCAGGAGCTCGTCCACAACTCCTCTACTGAGCAGCTGAGGACCATAATCCGCTACCTGCTGGACACTCTGCTAGGCCTGCTGCATTCCAACAACGGTGAGCAAGGAACTGGACATAGCTGGGTCTGAAAATCCATTCAGTGTTGAAATATATGCATTTTTTCCCACCTGAATTTGACAAATTATTAATGGGCTGCAGCATTAGTCCTCAATTCTTTAATTTGTGTGTTTATTTTTTTGAACATTTTTAGGCCACTCAGTGCCTTCAGTGTTGCAGAGTACCTTCCATGCGCAGGCCTGTGAGGAGCTCTTCAAACATCTTTGCATCAGCGGGACGCCTAAGATCCGTCTTCACGCTGGACTGCTGTTGGTGCAGCTCTGTGGAGGGGAGCGCTGGTGGGGCCAATTCCTCTCAAACGTACTGCAGGAACTCTACAACTCAGAGCAACTACTTATCTTCCCCCAGGACAGGTAGAGGCCATGACATTTTTTTTTTATGACACTTCATTTGGTGCTTTTTGCTTAGTACAAATCAGAAAAAAAGAACAAACGAACATCACTGAATGAAAAGGCAAGTGTGTGAGAAAAACATAGAAAGAAAGCAAGTTAAAGAGCGGTAGATGCAGAATCAGTCAAAATGTGTTATACATGGAGTCTCTCAAAGTCAAAGTCAACTTTATTGTCAATTTCAAAATATGCCAGACATAAAGTGGAATCGAAATTGCGTTTGTCTCCGTCCCGCGGTGCAATACAACCAAAATAAGGTAAAATAAGATAAGGTAAAATAGATCAAATAAAATGAAGTAAAAATAAGATGAAGAGGCTGTGTGAGGGGTGGGTGGGGTCACGCACAATGCTGGTTGCTTTGCGGGTGAGGCGGGTACCGTAGAGGTCCAGAAGAGAGGGGAGTGGGACACCGATAATCCGTTCAGCAGCCTTCACTGTGCGCTGCAGGGTCTGAAGGGAGTTTTCATCCCACATCACCCTCATCCAGTCGGGCAAGAAATGAGTCCAAGATAGCTGGAAATGAATGGCTGACATCATATGGGCGATCTATTTCTGAACAGAAGGCGGGTCAGAGGACTCCCAGTCTCTTAGAATGAGTCTCTTGGCGATTGACATCCAGCGCCACTAATGGGCGTGGAGAAACCTTCAGTTACCTTTGAGCAGCTGAAGATGGAAAATCCACTATCTGACTGAAAATCTTTTATAGGACTTGAAATATGAGGCAAACAGTTATGACCAGAATCTAGTTAGTGAAGGGCAGAACCAGAAGGCGTGAGAAAGCGTGTCCTCTGACACTCTGCATCTGCAACACAGTGTCGAGACAGAGGAGTCAAATCTTAAATTAGATTTAATCCAATTACCAAAAGCTCTACAGAAAAGATTTCCAAAGCTTTTAAACACATCGAGGACAATGAAAGTAATTAAAAAATATATATTTTCTTTTGTTTTAAATACCTTTATTTGATACTCATAAGCAGGGGGTGGGCGGGGTATTACATTTATTTACATTTATTTAATTAAGTTCAGTTTTTTGAAGCTGCTTAACATGTCTCATAAATCAGCTTGTACAAACATGAATTTCAATCTGAAAATGTAATTAATCCATGATAGAGTAACCTACTTTGAGACATTGAGTAAAGGACATACCGTAGTCGCCCCTTCATTACATGTTTATGTATGCTTTTATATATATATATATATATATATTAATATATTAATATTTCGGTGCAGGAATGGGTGCTGAGATTGTAACTTCTGTTTTTCTTTCCAGGGTGTTCATGCTCCTGTCTTGCATTGGCCAAAGATCGTTGAGTAACAGTGGAGTGTTGGAGGGCCTCCTGAACCTCTTAGACAGCCTTCTTTCTCCACTACAGCAGCCTCAAGCAGCTGCCCAACGCAGGACTGAAGGTATTGCTACCTTGAATTTGGAAGAGTTATAATTATATTGCAAAGCTTTTTATGTGTAATGGAGAGAACTTGTTAAGAGTGAAAGGCTTATAATATTGATCAAAGCACAAATGACAGATTTGTGTGTGATGAATGTATATTTGAATTAAATAATTTAGCAGATTGAGGTCAAAGACTGTGTATTTATTATGTGTTTTTTCAGGAGTCTTGGATATCCCCATGATCAGCTGGGTAGTGATGCTGGTTTCTAGACTATTGGACTACGTGGCCAGCATAGAAGACGAGGCCTCGGGTGGGAAGAAGAACCTTGGAAAAGAGCGGGAGAGAAGTTATACAGGTATGTAAAGATTAAGATTGACTTTATTGATCCTGCAAGAGGAAATTCTGTTTTTACACTCTGTTAATCATGCAACACACACATGCACAAACAGCATCCTATGGACATGCACTAATTGAGAGACGTCAGAGTGACGGAGCTGCCCACAGCGGGCGCTCCTGAGCTGGTGGTGGGGAGGGGGTTTGGTGCCAACTTCCATATTTGGTCCGCACCGGGACTTGAACCGGCGATCCTCAGGTTCCTAACCCAAGTCCCTACAGACTAAGCCATTGCCGCCCATAAAGTGTCCGATGATTTGATTTGAAATTTTAAAACCTTCAATGAACAGTTTTTAATGCACTTCAGGACTTCACTTTTTAAAGAAGGAAAGTTCAAAGAAAAGAAAAAACAATTGTCATTTTCATATTATCAATCACTATATCATAACTTTGAGGCTGCTGTGAATTCATTCAGTCTGTGTTTAGATATATGTTCTAAATGTTAAATGTCTTTTGAAATGCTGCAACTTCTAAATGAACCTCACACATGATGAGCTTTTAAAGAAGAAAAAATAAAATCCTCATAGATTATTGGGTAACCTTTTTTTCTAACAGCAGAATAAGCGTGTCCAAAACCTCATGTAAAAGTCATGCAAAACACATCAGGGATGTTACGAGCGACTCATTTCTTTTAAATTAAATTGGTCGACTCGTCACATTAAGAAACAGTCAAAATTTTAAAAAAAAATGTCACTTAACAAAGCAAAACACAGTATCACAAACTGTTCAGGTAAACAATGTTGAATTAGTTTGTAGAGTGTGTCTAATTGTAGCATTGCTAGCACCACCATCCTTCTGTCCTTGCCAAGTCCACATTCCTGTTCTAAAAGTGGTTGAGCATTGCTCCGGTCGATTTGCCAGTTTAACCTGCGCACATCTCTGTCAGACATCTGATTTCAGAAATTGAACCTGAACGCATGGTTGTTTTTTGTGAATTTATCAGTTTTCAACTGGTCAGCTGATGATTTTTGTTGTCGATCTGTCCTTCAGGTATTCAGTGGAGCTTCATCAACAACAGCCTTCAGTCTCAGAGCTCCAGCAGGTCAGCCAAAGGCAGCAGCAGCCTGGATCGACTCTACTCTCGCAAGATCCGCAAGCAGCTCGTCCACCACAAGCAGGTAAATGTGTCTCAACCAAACACCAGCTTCCATTTAAATAGATACATTTTGATGTGTTCTTGAAATCCTCTGATAGTGTTATATGAAAATGTGCACTTAAGTCTGATACAAGTCTTATAATATATAAACCCGGGACTATGACTTTCTTGTTTTGTTTTTTTACTTGTTTGCACATCTCATGATGCTGCAGCATTAAATTTGGTTGTCTTGAGTGAACACTTTTGCAGTTCTTATATTTATCATGCGCTTTTTATTGTAGCAGTTAAATCTATTGAAAGCTAAACAGAAAGCTTTGGTGGAGCAGATAGAGAAGGAGAAGATCCAGAGTAACAAAGGCTCCTCCTACAAACTCCTGGTGGAACAGGCCAAGCTCAAACAAGCAACATCCAAGGTGAGAAGTTAATCATTCACTGCAGTGTATAATAGGAAGCCCTGTCACTTTATAAAGCCCTGTTCACACATGCACAAAACTCCTGAAAATTTCCTAAATTTTCATGGTGTGCTGCATGTGTGAACACATAGGCTAAACTTTTAAACCAGACTTTAACTGGAATTTTCCCTGCCAGCCCCCTAGTAATAATTGTATTGTGAGGTCAGTGGTAAGCCGATGTGTGAACCAGGCAGGTAATATTCAGGATTATTCAGCCTGAGGGGTTGGGAGAGGATTGTGACGTTTATATCATGCGACCGATGCCATCGTCATGCATGTCATGAAACTGCTTCCGTATGTTTTCTCCCTACCAATATGTTCTTCTATTCTCTTTTGTTTATACTGTGGATACCTCCTAAACATGTACCATTGATATAAAGGCAAATTAAACATTAGATTCTGTTGCTAGTTTGCCATCTTGACACATCGTCTTTTCTGCCATGGATTGCCTGAGACATTGAAAAACGTGTCCTTGTTCTGACATTTTTAAATGTCTTGTAATCCCCTGTTTACCCTCCCTCCATATTGCAGCACTTTAAAGACCTAATCCGTCTCCGACGGACTGCTGAATGGCCCCGCTCCACGTTGGATACAGAGTCCACAACTGCCAAAGAAGCCCCAGAAGTAGAACCCCTGCCCTTCACTCTGTCCCATGAACGCTGCATCTCTGTGGTTCAGAAGCTGGCCCTGTTCCTCCTCTCTATGGACTTCACCTGCCACGCTGACCTGCTACTCTTTGTCTGCAAGGTATTCATCCTACTCAAGTACAAAGACTTTTTAAATATTCTGATCTAAAATGTCAAGTCAATGAATACTGTTGTCTTACCCACTCAGGTCCTTGCTAGGATAGCAAATGCCACAAGACCCACAATCCACCTGTGTGAAGTAGTGTCTGAGAATCAGCTGGAGCGTCTGCTGCTCCTGCTTGTGGGAACCGACTTCAACCGAGGGGACATTTCCTGGGGGGGCGCCTGGGCTCAGTATTCCCTCACATGTATGCTACAGGACATCCTGGCAGGTGTGTTAAGTTTGTGGGTTGTTGTGTTATTTTCTATCTTACAGGTCTTGTGTTTTAGTGGCGTACAATTAATATATGAAACTGATTTCATACTTTGTCATCCTCCCAGGTGAACTGCTGTCTCCAGGCTCTCTGGATGTAATGGACGAAGTGGCGGTGGGTGAGGAGGCTGGGGCATCGTCCTCCTCAGCAGGGGCCGATTCAGATGACTCCCTGCCCCAGCCGGCCCCCATCCCCCTGGTAGAGAGCATTGATGAGGCCCTGGTACCCGATATCATCGCAGGTACTGCCGGGAACTCCTCGGTTTTCCAAAGTGCGTGGGTAACCCTATCGGTTCTCAACTCTTCCAATAACACAACACAGATACAAACACACATGTTTCTCATCTCAATATCAAGTATGACTTTTCTTCTTTGACATGGCTGCATGGTTACTGTTTTTTCTCCACAGTATGATATGATGTGAACTGTTAATGTCTTTTTAAAGCTTTTTAGAGTGAGAGTTCAGACATCTAGATTCAATTTAACAACATGTCATTCAAAGTTGCATTGTCATCATGGTTATTTGCCTTTGCGTTGTAGAGATAAGTGAACACTGCATTGGAGATGGACACTATCATCACTGTCACTTATTTGTGTCTCAATGAAGAAACACTCAATTTGGTGTCTTGTGTATGGACTCTCGCTTTAGTACTGGAGTTTAGGCCGGTATAGCATTAAAATTGCCCAGTAACGTGCTAAAGAAAGAGTTTCTCTTGCTTCTATGTTTCCCTAGTGTGCTTGCTTGGCAATATTAAAGCTGTTTTTATTATCTGAAGGTGCTCCACCTCTGTCATCTTTGGAAAAAGATAAAGACATAGACTTTGACTTGCTACAAGACCTGATGGATGTTGATATTGATCCTTTAGATATTGATTTGGAAAAAGATCCACTTGCTGCCAAAGTTTTTAAGGTACGTTGATTAAGACATATTATTTTCCCTTTTTAAAATTCACTTCTGTAACGATGTAACAAACCTGTCGGTAAATGGAATGTCACTTCTTATCAATTACTGTTATACGTAATTCTATATGTACTTTTTTTTTTAACTTTATGATATTTCTTGCAAATTACAGTTTAGGTTCATAACCATACACTGCATACACAATTTTATTTAAAATGTTTCTATTTAATCCTTAAACAAGAGCCACCCCCCAATCCATAGACTGTATAAGACGTGAATGTGGACACGTGATTCCTACTTGGATTCTGGCAGATGTTTTTGAAATTTTTTGACAGAATTGACTTTATAAAGACAAGAGAGTTGAGCTGGATGTCAAAGGATTAGATTTGTTTGACAAGGTTAATTGATAATAACATTTTAAGCTAGAAAACAGGCTGAACACAATGTTCTTTTTCATTAAATCATCCATTCTACTCTTTAGAGTCTTTTACTATGACTGAAGAGGTTGTAGTCAAAGGTTTGACATGGCAGTTAACCATGCCTTAAGCTAAAGCTCAAAATAGATTTTTTTTGTTAACAAAATGACCATTGTTCTGTATTGAAGAAGGCTTCAAACCAACCATTGAAACCGTAATAATGAACCCTTACAATGAAAAATATTTTTTAGGGCATAAATCCAGTAACAATTGGCGTCATTTTGGGCACGATAGCCGAGAAGTTAAAGCATGCGTCCCGTGTACAGAGGCTGTAATCCTTGTAGCAGCCTGGGCTCGACCCCGACTCTCTGCACTTTGCTGGTTGTCATACCCCTCAACTGTCCTCTCAAAATTTGGCCAAAAACGGGGAAAGGAAGCAGTAAAAACACTAAATACTTTTAATGTTTACCAGGGCTGGTAAACAATTACTGGTACATTTTTTAATCACAATTAATCACTGAATTTCACCAGTTAATCACAATAGATAACATTTTTATCGCATGTTTAAAATCCCATTACTTTGCATTTGATAAGAGTTTTTGTTTGGCTTTTATTTTGTACCGTTTTAAGCTGAGAGTATTTTACCTCTTATTTGAATACAAACTTTTATTTTGAAATAATACAGACAGCCCTAATATTTTCACATTATTGTTTTCCCCTCAAACCTACCCTACAGCGCAGCTTCCCACACTTTTCCAACGAAGAAATTAAAAACCTTATTGTTCAGTTAATTGTTCATTTTAATCAGTGACAGAGATATAGCATTATCTGAAACTCTGCAAGGTCAAACAACTTCCAAGCTGCTTGTTTAATAGAAGAATCGCCAAGAACAAGTAGCTGTTAAATATGTAGACAAAGTAACGTTTGTCGGCCCTTTCTAGGCTCAAATAAGAAAACTGGTTTACACTCTTTGTACTTTTAGCACCTCCATCAATATTCTGGGATCTTAAATTAAATGTGGAAATTGAAGTGTCCAAACAAGACGAGTCATTTTTTTTGTCATGTTTCACATCCCCCTCTTCTCATGTCCATCCTCAGCCTATAAGCAGCACCTGGTATGATTACTGGGGCGCTGACTACGGCACATATGGGTACAACCCATACATTGGAGGCGTTGGTATCCCGGTGTCCAAACCTCCTGTTGCTGCAGAAAAGCCAGGATCTCAGAGTCTGTCAGTGTCCGTGTCACAGGGTGAGTACGGGTGGAAGAACAGACCTCACTGCATTTGTTTTATATAATGTTTTTCAATCTGACCTTTGACCTTTATGCCTACCTTTCATAGCGCTGGATGCGCGGCTAGAAGTGGGACTAGAGCAGCAGGCTGAACTCATGCTCAAAATGATGGCAACTCTGCAGGCTGATTCCATTCTCCAGGCCCTCACCTCAAGCTCCTCCACAGGTGAGTAAAAAAGACTGTATGAAACATGGAAATGATCATTTTACACAATTAGTGTTTTTGCTTATTGTAACGTAATTTCTTCAGGATTTTCAACTATATCTCTTGAATCAGTGTTATCAGAGTTATTTCAATTGCTTGAAATCCTTCAGATCTCTTTTACCTCAAGGTTTGAGAAATAATACTCTTACTATTATATTTTCTATTTAAGAACAATTTAAACACAATAATTAAAACACCATGCTCTCATGTGGCCGTTTTTATTGCTGCCCCCCCTGCATGATTTGACCATGTTTGAAAAAACACAAAATCTAATTTAATTATGCCATCAAAAACAAACAATATGGTGAAATGAAAAATGGAAGCCTTGCCCTTATTGCAAAAATAACAAAATGTTATGCTCATCCATGAGCTGCAGCTCTTTAACAACCGCTTCACAAGAACAAAACAAATTACAGCTGTTTATTTAAAGCACACCTGGTACACCCAGGAAACAAGAGCTTTCATGCTTTTGTGCGCCACATAGACAATGAATGTGTTTGAGAACGGAGTGCAGCGCCCACTGCTACCTGAAATGCACTTTAGAGTTACGCTGCAAATAAGGATGAAGTCTTCGGTAATAGTTGTTTTGGATTTTTGCGAACTTTCTAGTTGTTTTCAGGAAATCTGTTTTGATGACTAAAAAAAACTGTTCAAGTTTAAATTGGTGGTCTTTCGTTCTAAAGTACAAGTTTTACTTGTTGATTGGCTTTCAGTGAACCAGGCCTCCAATGGGACTGATGACTCCCTGCTGAGAGCTCTCCATGGAGGAGGCTCTCCTCCTGTTAGCGGCCTGATCCAAGCCTCATCCATCCCAATACTGAGCGCCTGCTTCAATAAGCTCTTCTCCATGCTGCAGGTCCACCACGTACAGGTATGTCAGACTCAGTGCATATTTAAAACATATGATTCTTTGTCACTAATGTTTTCAGTAGAGGCACCTACTGAAACCTTGACTCTTCAATGGTTTTATTTTTTAATCTGTTCATAGTTTCATGGGAGGCTACAGAGCAAATTCTAGATTGTCTTAATGTGTAAATGTTTCTTTTGCCACTTTATAGCATTGATATTTGCCATTAAATTGAAGGTAAAGTTTGTCTTATTTTGTGCAGATTTTTCATGAATATCTCCAGGACACCCTGTAAAAACTGTAGCGATAATAAAGTTAATAAACCCCCCTCCCCAAAAAGAAATTCTCTATAATGTAGCCAGTTATTAGATGGCCATCTTTTCACATGTAAATCAGCAAACTACATCAAGCCTTGCTTTCATCCTCTCTTTGGAAGAGAAAGCAACATGCACAACATTCTGCCCAGTGAAATCCTTACACTCTGTATTATATGCTCATAAAATTCTCTCAGTCTAACTTCACTCTCTCCACATCTTTTTTGGATGAAAGTCTTGTTTACACAATTTTAAATCATTATTTAATCCAGCAGAAAGGAACATTTCCTGTTGTGGTCATTAATGTCTTGTGTTCCCAGATTCTGAATCATAACTTTATTCAGTTTTAAGGCGATGAAACTTCCACTTAAACTAAGTGATACCTCATAAACTTAATACTCTACAAATAAAGAAGAACAGACAACAAAGGGTATTTAAAAAAATGCATTCTCTTCTTAGCTGGAGTCTCTGCTGCAACTGTGGTTAACGCTCAGTCTCAATACCTGCTCTAATGGCAATGAAGAGAGCGGCTCGGACATCTTCATGTTCAACGCAAGCCGAGTGCCCACCATCCCGCTCAACCAAGGTAAGGACTCCATCACACTGTGTCTTCCTTTCAACACCTCTGATACAGCTGTGGAAAGTTGAGTCAGTTAAGGTTCCTTTCTTGTACTATTTTTTTTTGACTGTTTGTATTCCTGCTGGGTTTATAATGTATTGTGTCTTTGTCCAGCATCCATCAGCAGTTTCCTGACAGTGCTGGCTTGGTACCCCAACACCTCCCTGAGAACATGGTGTCTGGTGCTGCACTCTCTCACCCTGATGACCAACATGCCCACCTGCAGTCAGTACCCCATTCTTATTGGCTTGCTTCCGTTACAGTAATCCATGTGAGAGAGTTGCACTCCCAATCTGTGGTCTTTATGTCCACAGTTAATAGTTAAGCAGTAAGGAGCAGTACCCAATAAGGAGCCTATTTGAGCATTTACACTTAGCATTAATGCTAATCAGATTAACTTCCATGTTTGCTTATGGTTAGAGATTGGGGAAGATTGACACAGTGTCAAAGTGTTTTGATCTTAATGTTTAGATGATTCTGGAACGATGTTCAGACAATGTAGACTCTGTGGTATCAGGATTATATTTGTCATATCACTTAGACAGGACACTAATAGAAATCCAACGATATCAATACCTCTTTCTTTCCCAAAATAGAATTCCTAGGCACCCAGTACTGTTGTTGGTTTTTTTTTTTTTAACAAAAATTGCAAGCAAACTCCTGCACACTATCTGAATACTACAAATAAATTAGCACCATTGATTTGATTTGTTTATTCTGAACAACAACAAAAAAGACAGAAAATAAATAATTACAAACAGTGAAAAGTATAATTTAGAAAAAAATAATACAAATTTGTACACTAAGCTATTATAAGTTACATGTCTGTAAAGGAGTGGGCAGAAGTAAACACTTATTGAATCCCACCCCCTCTCCAACATTTGGGTAAAGTTGCAAATGTATTTCCTTTTCAATTTGGGCAATGCTCTCTCTCTCTTTGGGTTGAAATTATGACTGGTGATCTGTAGTGTTTTTAAAGCTTCTGCACACCATTGATAATTTGAAAACAGAGGTTGTAGAATTTGAAACACACGTATCTCAAATTCTGACATCCTTAACTACGACCAATAAAAACAAACAGTCCACGATGACACATAGCCTGTTCTTGGTGAGGTCATTAGACGCCAAGTTTCAGGGTTAGCACAAGTAATTGTTATACAAGTTTAATTTGTATGATGCCTTTTAAATTTGGGGCAGGTTTTTATAACCGTGTCGGCCAGTATACCTCCTTTAAAATCACACTTTGTTTCAATTTACACCATAATAAACTTAATGTCGTGACATAAAACATTACAGTATTAAATATCATATTACTGACAATGTTTCACAACACATAGCAGATAGCAAAAGTGTTTCTAAATGCTGTGTGTTTGATTGTACAATTGTAATGATATAACCTCATTATAATCTACTTAATTTTGTTAAAAGCTTAATAGATGATAAAATGCCCACAGCTCATTGGATTTGGATTTTCATTGGTTCTGTCTACACCTTGCATTAACATCCATCTTTTGTAATAGGATAACAAGTGGACAGCAATTAAGTACAGATGTTTACGCTTTGTATTAATAATGAGTCTTCTTTAGCACTTGATTCGGATCTCATGTGCCTGCCAGTTTGAAATGTGTCGTCGTTTACAACCAGCGGGAGGCAGCATTGTTCTCCCAGTAGACATGTTGGTCCTTAATGCTGCCATGGATGCATTCATGTCTCCGCTACCTAACCAGTCTACGTGCAGGACCACCTCTGTATCTGGTCTGAGCTATCAGATCTCAGTCCGGCCTTAGGATGCGATTGGGGTGCGATCCCAACTTGCATGAAGAGACTATCCACTTGTTATCAGAACAAACTAGGATGGATGTTTATGCAAGTTGTAAACAGAGCCATTGTGAAAGCCACAGCTCCAACTTGTCTTTTTTTTTATATATATATATATATATATATATATATATATATATATATATTTTTTTTTTATTCATTTTTTAACATAACAAACACAGAACAAGACAGCACAGATGTAACCAAATTACTGAATAAAAAAAATATATATATATTTAAAAATAAAAATAATAACATACATGGGTTGTAATAACATATCATATCAGATACAATCTTATCTACCTAAATTACATGTCAAAGGGAAAAAACATGACTATGATGTATTTTTGAAGATAAAGTGTGGGCACCCTTTCTGCAATAAGCCAACCAGATCAGTGGGAAGATAATCTATGAAGGGTTGCCAAATATTATAAAATAAGTTGTTATTTCCCTTTAATTTAGCACTGAGGTGTTCCATAGGAAGAACCTTAAATGTTTCTCTGTACCACTGCGTGACTGATGGAGGCTTCTCCTGAATCCACTGAAACAGAATACATCTCCTCGCTAGGAGCAGAGGTTTACCCATTAGAACGAGCTGTCCTGTTGATAGAGAAAACTGTTGCGTAGGTAAGTTCAGGAGAAACAATGCTGGCTCTAGTTTTATTGTTCTGTGAAAAATTAAGCCAAGCTCCTGGGCAACATTTTTCCAATACCTGGATATTAAGGAACATTGCCATACACAGTGATAGTAAGTTCCTACTTCTTTTTTACACTTCACACAGAGGGCGGAGATCTGAGGACTAATTTTGTTTAATAATTGTGGTGTTCGCTGAAGTCTATGTAATATTCTGTATTGGCTCTCTTTGAGTCGATTACATGTAAAGATTTTTCTAGCTGAAACAAAGGTACCTGACCACGCCTCTGCACTAAGTTCAACCTCCAAGTCCCTTTCCCATAGTTCCCTAGTTCTCTCAACCCTATCACAATTAATAGGATGTAATTTGTCATAAAAAAGGGAAATTCTTTTTCTGTCGTTGAGCGCATTTAAACTAAAATTGAGAAGAAAACTTTCAATTGAGCTCAACAATGGTTGATCAGTGGGGATAATCAGATCTGATTGGACAAAATGTCTAACTTGGAGAAAACCAAAGAAGTGACTATTTGGTATTCTGTATTTGGTCTTGAGTTGATTGAATGACATAAAATCACCATTTTGAAATAAATCAGCCACAAATCTTAGACCCTTTGAATACCAGTCATTGAAAATACTTTTCCCTATACCTGGAGAGAAGGCTTTATTTTGAGTCAGAGGTTGTAATGCTGATGAGAAACCTCTCCGGCCAATGTGTTTAGTAATATCTCTCCAGATTCTAAGCGTGCTAAACGTGACAGCGTTGTTTTTAACATCTGCTGGCAGTTCGCCAGCGTCAGTTGAGAGGAGACTGAAAGGAGAGAGAGGGGAACAGCACCATGAATCTGTTAGAGGCTCCCCTTGATGTATAAAATGGTTTAGCCAGCGTGATATTATCCTGCCGTGGCAGGCCCAATTGTAATATAGAAAGTTAGGAAGTGCTTGACCCCCCCTGTCTATTGGCAACTGTAAGGTCTTCATCTTTAGCCTAGATTTCTTGCCATGCCATATAAATTTTGAAAGAGATCTTTCGATATCCAAAATAACTCTTCTATTGATCTTAAGTGGCAGCATTTGCATTGGGTACAACATCCTGGGAAGTACATTCATCTTAACCAAGCTTATTCTACCCATCCATGACAGAGGAAGATCAAACCATCTGCTGAGGTCATTTTTAACTGCTTTCAAAGTTGGAATAAAATTTAATTTATACAATTCTTTTATGTCTGCTGATACTCTAATCCCCAGATAGGTAAAGCCTGAAATTGACCACCTGAACGGAAAATTAACAAGGGTATCCGGGACACCAAAGTCTCCGAGAGGCAAGGCCTCTGATTTGTCATAATTAATTTTGTAACCTGAAATTTGGCCAAATTCACTTATAATCGATTCCAATACCGGTATGGAGCTCTCTGGATTAGTAATAAACAACAATATATCATCAGCATAGAGCGAGATCCTGTATTCTGTGTCTCCCAATGTGACACCAGAAAAAAAACGGTGGGTTCTAATGGCCTCTGCGAGGGGCTCAAGCGCAAGTGCGAATAAAAGCGGCGAAAGGGGACAGCCCTTGCGTGTGCCTCTATTCAGAGGGAACATCTCAGACACTGAACCATTTACCAGAACTCTTGCAGACGGAGATCTATATAGGAGCTTAACCCATGTAGTGAAACCAGAACCTAAACCAAACCTGTTAAGAACATCAAATAGATACTCCCACTCCACCCGATCAAAAGCTTTTTCTGCATCCAGTGAAACAGCAAGAATCCTTTTTTTAGTATTTTGTGAAAATTGTTTTTTATAAACCCTGTCTGGTCTGATCCAACCAAGATGGGCAAGACCTCCTCCAGTCTTCGAGCCAGAAGCTTGGATAATATTTTGCTATCAACTCCGAGTAAGCTTATTGGTCTGTAAGAAGCACAGCTATCTGAGGGTTTATCTTTTTTTTAAATCAAGGAGATGTGGGCAAGATTTAGAGTTGGTGAAAGTGTTCCCCTTTCAAAAGATTCTATAAACATTTTAGTTAAAGGTCCAACCACCAACCTGGACATTTTTTTATAAAATTCAGGGCTGAACCCGTCAGGACCTGGGGCTTTTCCACTTTGTAGAGATTTAATAGTATCTAATACTTCCTGTGTTGTGATTGGTTTGCATAGATTATTTCTGTTAGTTTCGGACAGAGTTGGGAGATTTATTTTATCAAAAAATCGTTTTCTCAGCATCGAAGTGTTTTGACACTCAGAAGAGTAAAGGTTTTGGTAAAATGTTTTCATTATTTTACTTATAACTTTGGTTTCAAAATGTTGTTTCCCCTTGAAATCTTTGAGTGATGGGATTACACAAGACCCTGCCTGGCCTTTTGCAAGACTGGCAAGGAGCCTGCCAGGTTTGTTTCCAGATTCAAATAATCTATGCTTAGCAAAAAAAATAGCTGATTCTGCTTTTTGGGTTAGAAGTTGATCTAAGGCAGAGCGCGCTGCTTCTAATTTTTTAAACACCGATACGGAGGAAGAGGCTATAAAGACTCTGTCCAAGGTTTTAATTTGCTGCTCAAGCTCTAACTGTTTCGCTAGTGCATTTTTCCTCTTAGCAGCTGTATAAGAAATGATGCCCCCCCTCAGGAAAGCCTTGCCTGTTTCCCATAAAGTAGATGCAGATACCTCAGGTGATTCATTAGTGGAAATAAAAAGTTCCCATTGTTTTTCTAAGTATGTTACAAATTCAGGATCGCTGAGAAGAGATGAATTTAGGCGCCAGTGTCTAGATAAAGGGTCATAATAAGGTGGTAGGAGTTCTATAGAAACTAATGAATGATCCGAAAGGACACATGCATCAATAGAGCAGGATTTAGTCCTGTCGAGTGTTGAGCTTGAAACAAATAAATAGTCAATTCTTGAGAAAGACCGATGAGGGCGCGAGAAAAAAGTAAAATCTTTCTCTCGAGGATTTATGATTCTCCATGCATCAAATAAGCCTAGATCTAGACATAGATCCTTTGTGGCTTTTGCCATCCTGGATAGAGGTAAAGTTTTAGATGGACTGTGGTCCATTTCTGGAACCAATCCGCAATTGAAATCTCCTCCTAATATAACAAAAGGGGGGCAAATAGAAGATATATCCAGCCAGTAACTTTGAATAAAATGAGCTGTCAAAAGTATTGGGGGCATAAGCACTTCCCATGAGAACATGTTCTCCATATAAAAACCCAGTAATTACAACATACCTTCCTTCTGTATCGTGAATAACTTTTTCAAGTTTAAAACTCATATTTTTGTGGATGAGAATTGCCACCCCTCTACTTTTTGAGTTGAATGAGGAATAAAAGATTTGGCCAACCCAAACACGTTTTAACTTCAGGTGTTCAAGGTCTGTAAGGTGGGTCTCTTGTAATATTGCCACTTGTACCTTGTCTTTTTTGAGCATAGAAAGTATTTTACGTCTCTTTACCACATTATTGATCCCTTTGACATTTAATGTGATAATTTTAATGTTACTCATTATGTAGCGTGTTTATCTGACAAGAAAAAATAAAATAAGACAATTTAACCTGATATATAACCCACTGTTTGTAAAAAAAAGATCAATTCAGTATCATTTGACTTAGAAACTGTGCTGACATAAACATATCCATCACCTAAAGATGGAAGAACCAGAACCTTCTCCATGCTCAGAACACCATGCAAATATAAAGCCAGCATAAGAGCATGAAGTGTATAAAGTAACAAAACAGAACAAAAACCAAAAGCTACCAGATGGGTAGTACTATAGGAGCACGTGCTGCCAGAAGGAGTCATCACCTCTGGAGGGGAGAAAGCAAAACAAAACAAAAATCCCTCCATATCCACTCCCGTCCCCACAACATAAAGTTATTACATGCCTGTTATATTTGGCATTTAATTACCATAAAGCTTCTATGGCCATAATATTTGAGAAATAAAAAGAGAAAGAAGAGGGCCCCTTGATTGTTATCAATATTTTAGCCAGACAAAAGAGAGGCTGCTTCACACCAAGAGACACACTTGGGAAAGACAAAATATAGTTTAGCCATGTCAGTATTTAGATTATTACAGTCTTATATTTAGGTAGAAGAGAGCTATGGTTAACAAGTAACTACTGACCAGATTTATTCCAGTGTGTTGATAAAGTTATCTGCATCTCTCGGTGTTTCAAACTTGTGCTCTGCGCCGTTGTAGTTCACTGTCAGTGTAGCCGGGAAGCGCATGTTAAACCGTATGCCCTTGTGGATTAGAGCTTGACATACATTGTTGCGCGTCGCCTCTCTCGAACCACAGACGATAAATCCTGGTGTATAAAGAACCGCTGTCCTTCGTATTCCAAGTTAGGCGTTGCCCTCACTGCTGCCATTATCCTCGGTTTATCCCTGGAGTTGTGCAGACGGATGATCACCGGGCGAGGGCAAGCGCCTCGCGGCCCCGAGCTCCGATGTGCCCGGTCAATTTTAATACGGCTTTTGGTACCGGGGCTCGCTTCTAGGTTGAGAACGGTGGGCAGCCAAGATTCAAAGAAGTCTATCGGGCGCTTCCCCTCCGTGCCCTCTTTCAAATTGAGTACGCGGATATTATCCCGCCTGCTCCGGTTTTCCATGTCATCTATGCCATCAGCCATCACCTTCATTTTCTTCTCTGCATCGGCAGAGTCTTGCCTCCAGACCGGCCACCGTGTCCTCCACATCCGATACTCTCTGTTCAGCCGCGGTAATGCGTTTGGACTGGCTTTCCAGGGTCGTGGACATTTTTTCCAAAGTCTCAGAGAACTTAAAAGTTTTTTTCCCATAACGTCGCTAAAGTTCTGAGTTACCTCATGAATTAAAGCTGTGGCATCCATTGTTGGCAGGGTTTTGCCTCCTTCGTGCGCAGTGCTCGTTTGGCTAGCAGTTGTAGCAGCTGTTGACTTGCGTGGTTGAATTTTCGTCTGTTTCGACATCTCTCGTCACTTAAGGGTGTACCTTTCTTCTCGTTACAAGTTGTTACAACAATGTGTTGACATAATAAGCTAAACTGGATACATTAGACCGTATCAAATATAATCAAAATAGAGTGGGAGCGGGAGCTCGGTGAAAACACGTCCTCTAGCCAACCATCGTCACGTGACCCCCAACTTGTCTTTTAATTTAGTCAGCAGTTTGAATCTCAGTAGTTTTGTGACTTAAAATCCGACAGCATGTTTTTATTTATGCTCTCATTCTTCTGTAGTTGGTACCTAATAGTTGTGTTATGTGCAATGATTTACATAGAACCTGTGTTTGGACTTTCAGCCTCCAGCAATGGAATGGGCTCTCAGGAAAGCACAGCCCAGCAGATGGTGTCCGATCCCACCCTGGTTCACGTCTTGGTGCGCTTCCTGTCCGGCTGCAGCACCAACGGGACAAGCCAGCACAGCTCTCAAGTGGGACCCACTGCCACCCAGGCCATGCACGAGTTTCTGGGCCGCCTGCAGGTTCACTTGTCCTCTACCTGCCCCCAAATGTTCAGCGAGTTCCTGCTCAAACTCATGCACATCCTTTCTACTGAGAGGTATGAGTATCTCTTGAAGTTTTCTGCCAATAATGTTTGCATCTTAAAGATTTCTGATTGACTCTAACAACAACAAGAGATCTCTTTGATAACTCGTCTTTCTCATGCTTTAGGGGTCCGTTCCAGTCAGGCCAGGGCCCACTGGATGCTCAAGTGAAGTTGTTGGAGTTTACTCTAGAGCAAAACTTTGAGGTGGTGTCAGTGGCCACCATCTCCTCTGTCATCGAGTCCATAACATTCCTGGTTCACCACTACATCACCTGCTCTGACAAGCTGGTTTCCCGCAGCGGCTCCGACAGCTCTGTGGGTGCACGCGCCTGTTTCGGTGGTCTCTTTGCCAACATCATCAGGCCAGGAGATGCAAAGGCTGTGTGTGGAGAGACAACACGCGATCAGCTGATGTTTGACCTCCTTAAGCTGGTCAACGTGCTGGTGACGCTGCCCCTGTCTGTGGACAGAGAGTTCAGTGGAAGGCTGCCGCCGGCTGGCAGCGGAGCAGCTGATAGCAGTGTGTCAGACGAGGAGAAGGTCTGCGGAAGCAAAGAAAGCATTGCTGGTGGATCCACGTCCAGTCAGGGTCCTCCTGCGGGTGTGGCTGATTTGGTGCTGGCAAATCAGCAGATTATGAGCCAGATCCTGTCAGCACTGGGCCAGTGCAACAGCAGTGCCATGGCCATGATAATAGGTAAGACATTCAGACCACAGAGAGTTATTTACTACTTCAGTTCCTCTACCAAGGGTTTCATCTCTGCTTTGGTTTTTCCATTCACAATATTTAAGTTTTAACCTTTAGCCGCATTTTCAGAACCAAACTGCCCACTGACACAATTAGTAACTTGCTGAAAAAAAAAAAGAGCCAGAAAATTGTGTTGGTGCTGAAAACAAACAGAGCTTAAATGACAAGGAATGTTGGACTCACCAGTTAACAGATGTATTGGAATCTAAATGGTGCTGAAACAAAAATGTTAACCTTGCAAAGCTCCTGAGTAGAAAATTATGCTTAGATGCAGAATTATCTGACTTTTTAGCTATTGAAAAACGGTGTAAATTTACATTTGCTGAACACTGAGCACTGTGGCCACAATGCAGGGTAACTTTCATACCAGCACTTCCATGCTACTTTTATTAGTCCACTTTCATTGCATTTGCAATCACAAGGTGACACAAGTGTAAAATGTTGAACAAAGGCATGTGGATGTGAACACACCACAGTTTCTGAGCACCACAGGCTTACAAACACACAACAGTACAAATGTTTATAAAAACACAAATAAGGAGCGTATCAGTTTCATCATAGTCTTGTTTTTTTTTCTGTCATTTTTAATTCTTTTTTGTTGTTGTCAATAAAAAAACACACGAGCTGACATGTTCTCTGTGTTCCTTAGGAGCCAGTGGCCTCCACCTGACCAAACATGAGAACTTCCATGGTGGTCTGGACGCCATTTCCGTAGGTGATGGCCTGTTCACCATCCTTACCACACTGAGCAAGAGGGCCACATCAGTCCAGGTCATGTTACAGCCCATCCTCACATACATGGCCTGTGGTTACATGGGCAGACAGGTGAGCATAACACTTTTCAGTTTGTCTCTGGCTAAAAAGAATATAATGTTTAGACATTTGTTTGTCATTGTCCTTGTTGCAGGGGTCTCTCTCCACCTGTCAGCTGTCTGAGCCTCTTCTTTGGTTCATCCTCCGAGTGTTGGACACCAGCGAGGCTCTCAAGGCCTTCCATGACATGGGTGGGTATACACAGGAACAGTCTCTGGTAAATTTGTCCCTCCTGTGAATGCTTGGGCTACCGCCTCTGCTGCACTATGTAGTAAAAGGAGGTTTAAAAAAATAAAATAAATCAAAAATTGTGATTGAAATAACATTTTTGGGTGCCCCCATCAGTACAAAACATTCTGATTATTGTATTGCACTACTTTGGTTGGCTTGATCATGCCTTTTTAAAATCAGCAGCCCCAGTTTCTCAAACTATCTGTTTATTGCAAGTTTACATTTTCACTGGTCACAGAGCTGTTAGAAACGTGATTTGGAGTTGAGCTTCCTCTGCTCTATTCTACCTTTGGACCTTTCACCATAGCTACAGTTAGCTAAGCTGTCCTGCGTCAGCTAATGGGGCCTAGCTTGCTACGCCAGCCAATGATTTATTTTCCATGGAGCAGATATGTATTTTCCAAATCACAAGCATTAGCTCCATTGGGGGAAGAAGAGTACATTGATAATGTTTACCCTACTACTGTCACTGTGGGAGGCAAAGAATGAGCTAAACAAGATCTTTCCCTTCATTTTCTGACTTCTGCTGCTAGGTGGTTCTTAGTCGTAAGCTCTGCAAATCAGCTGCCTATGGACATGTCTGCAATTTTGTTTTATCAATTACGTTTCTTGTACTTTCCAGGTGGTGTGCAGTTAATCTGTAACAACATGGTAACCAGCACTCGGGCCATTGTGAACACAGCACGCAGCATGGTATCCACCATCATGAAGTTCTTAGATTCAGGTCCTGGAAAGACAGCAGATGGCAACCTGAAGGCCAGAGTGATGACATCAGAGCCAGACAATGCAGAGGGACTCCACAACTTTGCTCCTTTAGGTGCTTTCGGTTGCTTTTGACTCGATATCTTACATTTAAAAACCTTATCATCTTTCATGAACTCTCCACTCATCATAAATGATCTGTTTTTCCCCATAAAAGGCACCATCACATCAAGCAGCCCCACAGCTCAGCCAGCAGAAGTCCTTCTTCAAGCCACGCCCCCACATCGCAGGGCGCGCTCAGCAGCCTGGTCCTACATCTTCCTGCCAGAGGAGGCCTGGTGTGACCTCACCATCCACCTCCCTGCTGCTGTGCTACTGAAGGAGCTCCACATCCAGCCTCACCTTGCCTCTCTAGCCAGTGAGTTGAACCAGTTTATAAATGAATGTCAAATAAGGATTTTCTTTCATAAATTCACAATGTTGTGTTGTTAAGTGCTTTTTCTTTGCTGTTTTTATATCCAGTTATTTTTTTCCTCTCACTTGGAACAAAACTAAGCTATGTTTTTGTTTCAATTCCACCAGCCTGCCCATCCTCAGTCTCTGTGGAGATTAGCGCTGATGGAGTCAACATGTTGCCGCTCTCTACGCCGGTTATCACTAGCGGCCTAACATACATAAAGATCCAGTTGGTAAAGGCAGAGGTTGCGTCAGCTGTTTGCCTGAGGCTGCATAGGCCTCGTGATGCCAGCACTTTGGGTCTATCCCAGATCAAACTCTTGGGGCTTACTGCATTTGGTAACACCTCCTCTGCAACTGTCAACAACCCATTCCTGCCTTCTGAGGACCAGGTTTCTAAAACCAGGTAAAATAATGATCCTGGATTGAACGTTTTTCAATTAGTCTTCAGTGTGGGTGTTGTTTTTCAACTTTTCTTCCTCCACATACAGCATTGGTTGGCTGCGCCTTCTCCACCATTGTCTCACCCACGTCAGTGACCTTGAGGCCATGATGGCCAGTGCTGCAGCGCCCACTGCGAACCTGCTGCAGACCTGCGCTGCGCTGCTCATGTCACCTTATTGTGGCATGCATTCCCCCAACATCGAGGCCGTGCTGGTCAAGATCGGGCTGCAGTCCACTCGCATCGGGCTCAAACTCATTGACATTCTTCTGAGAAACTGTGCTGCCTCTGGCACTGACCCCGCAAGTGAGTCACACATAGCTGCATCACTGAGGAGTGCTAATCACAGGCTGCAGATCCCCATGACCTTAAAAAACATGACTGAGTTGCCAGATTTATTCCCTTGAAAGATCCATAAATTAGGTTGTAAAGAGTTTAAGACTTACACAAGGGCAAATTTTAGATGTTTGTTGTGCCAACAGCTAATTAAGAAAGTTTTACAGCAAGCATGTTTGTCATTTTAATTATCATTTAATCATGTAAATAGAAGGTAATATTTGGTAATTACAATGTTAAATCAGGAATGTTTCATATGATAAAATTAAACCAAGAGCAAACACTTTAGAGTTTATAAACAACAACAGGTCAAACGGGAATTACACTTCAACATACATGGAGAATAGATTTTTTTTTTTAAGATTTATTTTTGGGCTTTTCGTGCCTTTAATGCAGAGAGAGGACAGTGGATAGAGTCGGAAACCAGGGAGAGAGAGCGGGGAATGACATGTGGAAAGGGGCCACGGGTGGAAGTGAACCCGGGCCTACCGCTCGAGATGAGAGTCTCAATACATGGGAAGCGCGCCCTAACCATTGCGCCACCAGCACGCCCCGAGAATAGATTTTTTACGTAATGATATGTATTTATAAAAATAGTTTACTGGCCCTATGATAAAATATTTTCAAATATCTTTATTCAACTAAAGCAATATCTGGTCACTGTAGTAAATTTATTCACAATAATAAGGGTTCTGCACAGGCCTGAAACTAGGAGCAGGACTTGCCAAGTCTGTGTGATACTGCCAAATTTGAGACCCAAATTGACCCTGAAGCCACAGTTAAAAGAATGTTATTTGATAAATAATCTTTAATCATTAGCTCACCAGATTAATACTTGTTTTTCTAGATGATGTTTCACGGTTAGAACATTTTTTGCATTTACTGCAAGTAAGATTCAACCATGTTTTGGATTCCTCTTTGGGCAATGATGCATTGAAGCTGTGAGTTTAGGAAAGCTTTAGATTCAAGGGTCCTTCTACAAAGAAAAACATTTCATTATGTGATGTAATGGTCTGGGATAAAAAACAAAGAACAAAATGTATAAACCTTCCTCATGTACTCATTCTTATTTCGTCTCTGCCTCTGTCTTTGAAGATTTGAACAGCCCTCTCCTCTTTGGAAGACTGAACGGCCTCTCCTCAGACTCCACCATCGATATTTTGTATCAGCTGGGCACAACACAGGACTCTGGAACCAAAGACAGGTACATCAACATCCTCGTTTCACCTAGACTAAAACCGCCCTTAAGTCCCCCTCAATAAGAATTACAACTAATGTGAAACAGTTTTCCAATCAAGGTGATTTCCTAGACAGACGCATGTGCTGGTAGTAAAATGTGTCCTCACACTCTCCTTGTCATCTCTTACAGCCGTGGAAGTGCTTATTGCATATAAATACTAATGTGATTCACTTTACACGAGGGGCTGAGGAGATGATGCTGTGTTGTCCAAACTGTGTGATAAGTCATTTAGCAAAGTTTGCCTGAATTTTAACCCCTCCAGGATCCAAGCTCTACTCCAGTGGGTTCATGACTCCTCGCGCGTAGCAGCCCACAAGATTAGCGGCCCCATGGGATACACTAGTGCCGGAGCCAGCTCTTCCTCTGCTTCATCAAGGGAGTACGGCCTCCTCATGCCTTCTCCTTCCCATCTCCACTGTGTGGCAGCCATACTGTGGCATAGTTACGAGCTGCCTGTCGATTATGACCTGCCTGCACTGCTCAACAGAGAGCTTTTTGAGTAAGTCATTTCTCTTTTTCAAACAATGTTTCTATGTTAAGGATATTAAACATGCATGTTTTGTCATCACATGTTTTCGGCAGCAACTGTCTTTCATACAAAACCAATGTAGTGCTCAGCATCCTTAGGGGAAAAATGATATTGGAGTTAGCTTTTTTTTGCTGCTGACCCTTCAACTGAAAAAAGTCAACAACAATGGAGAAACTAACACTTGCTTCTTTTATCTCGTGCACCCAGACTTGTTTTTTCAAGATTATAATTTCCAGGTCTGGATTTAAGGACAGGATTCCTTTCCATTTTTTAAAATGTTTTCTTTGTAAAATTTCCTTAAATAAAATTCTTAACAGTAACTACTAGTAGCAGTAAGCAGTGAAACAAATAATGGTAACTTAGCATAAGTTTAGCTTATCCTTCTAACTTACCTCCCCTGACAATGAATGTCAAATATATATATTCATTATTGTTGACCAATTATTCCTTTGTTCTCTTCTAGGCTGCTGTATAACTGGTCTATGTCGTTGCCATGCAACATAGTGCTGAAGAAAGCTGTGGACAGCCTGTTGTGCTCTATGTGTCACATCCACCCCAGTTACTTCTCTCTGCTCATGTCCTGGATGGGGATCGTTTCAGCGCCCAGTGCCAGTCACTCTCAAGCCCAGCACCAACGTCTCGCCATGACCGATGATGGGAAAAAGCAGCATGATGCCAACACCAATGCTGCAGGACTCACTGATGATTCCAAGCATGCAAGACCCCCTATCAACCTGTCGGAGTCCCAGTTAACCACGCTGGCTGCTGCCTCTCAGTCTCCAGGGGCCATAGAGCAGCTGCTAGACTCAGGCTTACCCTCACTGCTGGTTCGTAGCCTGGCCCAGTTCTGTGTCAGCCTCCTGGCCAGTGCAGACCTTCCTCTGCCAGCTGCTCAGGCTGAGAGAAGACACCATCATCACCACTACCACTCATCCTCCTCCACCTCACACAGTCGACCTCCTCTGGCTGCAGAGCTGGCAGCTCCGGTGCTGCGCTTCCTGACGGAAGTAGGAAACAGTCACGCCATGAAAGACTGGTTAGGCGGACCAGAGGTGAACCCACTGTGGACGGCACTGCTTTTCTTGCTGTGCCATTCCAGTGCAAGTACCAGTGCCACTGCAAGCTGTCAGCCTCTGGGGTCCGGATCTGCAGCTTGTCCCCCTCCACCCCAGCCTCAGCCTTCAGGGTCACGCTTCTCCCTGGCTTCTTCTGGGCAGCCAGGAGGACTCACCACACAGCAGAGGACAGCTCTAGAGAACGCCACCGTGGCCTTCTTTCTCCAGTGTATCTCCTGCCACCCAAACAACCAGCGGCTCATGGCACAGGTCTGCTTTTACATTCCACACTGTTTGAATGACAAAGGTTATAGCATACAGCTTTCTCTGAGACATCAGACATTGAGGGCGCGGTCACACTGGTCATGTGTACCGTGCTGTACAAGTGCAATTGCCCCCCCCCGCTGCGCCTTTCCCACGCTGCCCGGCACGGCCCGCGGTCACACTACACAGGACTAATTGTGCCTAAAAGCACGATTACCTCTTGTACATAACATCGTAATACAACACATGCATGCTTTATGTCATTATGAAGTGTGCTCAGTTTACAAACAGGAGAGAGAGAGAGAGAGAGAGAGAGAGAGAGAGAGAGAGAGAGAGAGAGAGAGAGAGAGAGAGAGAGAGAGAGAGAGAGAGAGAGAGAGAGAGAGAGAGAGAGAGAGAGAGAGAGAGAGAGAGAGAGAGAGAGAGAGAGAGAGAGAGAGAGAGAGAGAGAGAGAGAGAGAGAGAGAGAGAGAGAGAGAGAGAGAGAGAGAGAGAGAGAGAGAGAGAGAGACGCGCGCAGTCGAGTCCACGTCTGTACATCGGAGAACATGACAGCTACTTTGTGTCTTATATTGTGTCATTTAGTCAGTTACAGACATAAAACTCTGGATTTCTCCTTAATGAAGGCTGTCAGCGTTGTGTACCAGCGTGTTTGTGCTCGTGCATGAAGTGTACCGTGCTGAAGTACACCTCTCTGAAGTGTGCCAAAGCCAAGGAAGTGTATTGAGCTTGAGCACGATACGGAGCGCTCACACTGGACAAATGAACTGGACTTTAGCGTTGAAGCGTGCTTGGGCACGGTACGGATGGCCAGTGAGACCGTGCCCTGAGTGAAAGTGAGGGATTCTCTATAAAGCTATTTGCTGTACAAACACTTAAAGATGACGTCACAGCAGCACAGGTGACAAAGGCAGTTCTAAAAGTTTCTGTATTCATTGGTCTTAAGGGCCCAGAATGAAAACACGAGAATTCTCCATAAAGGCTTTAGTAACACTAGGAAACCTTCGTAGTATCAAACCTATTTTGATTTATTAATCAATCTCTATCATGACTTCAACACTGTATTTTCTGTCTGCAGGTTCTGTGTGAGCTCTTCCAGTCTGCACCTCAGCGAGGAAATGTCCCCATCTCTGGAAACATATCAGGCTTCATTCGAAGGCTTTTCTTGCAGCTCATGCTGGAGGATGAGAAGGTCACAGTCTTCCTACAGTCTCCCTGTCCGGTGGGTAACATTCTCTCAATTTCTTCACTGTCTCCTTGCAGGTTGAAAAATGGTTATTCGAGCAATTGTTGCCTTTTAATGCCACCGGCTACGTACATGTAACCGCTTGGATTTGTTTTCTTTTTCTTTTGATAAACAGAAAAATAAATATCTTAATGCCTCTTAATGCTTAGATTAACACAGTGTCATTAATACTGGTGCTATGCAGACATGTTGACATGTGCCTGAGTGATATCACGATTGTTAAGGGGCTTGGTATTTAAATGTTATATATTACAGGTTTTATATTTCAGTAGGATTGCTATGAAATTAAGGGCCACATCATTGTATTTCCCAAGCACACCTAACTTGAGCCATGTTTTTCAGAGGTGATGAGTTGGTCTCAGTGATGCATTCAAAGCATGTCATGCTCCCTGTTTAATGGACATGAGCAACATGATATAATCATGTTATTGTCAAAACTGATTGTGTGGCATATAGGACAAGAGATTGATGCTAAATTCAGCTGTGACCACAAGGGGGCAATGTGACACAAAAAACCTCTTTTCCTATCACAATGATCCCGGTAGACTGATGCATGCTCTGTAAAAAGGTTTCTCATTGACATGTTAATGAACAATATTTTATAAGCTTAATGATTGGTTGTCAGAAAATCTCTTTTAGGAAAAGTGTGTGTCTGGGGGCAGGGTGTTGAAAAATTGGTTTTAATTACCCAAAGTAAACCATTTTCATATCCTTGCTGTCTCATTGTTCTCAGTATGATAGGCTATTTTTCCTTGTTGCCCGCTAGCAGAGAGAACTATGGTCAGCAAGGTCGTCTGCTTGGTCCAGACGAGGTATTTTAGCAACCGCTGCACAGACTGTCCTGACATTTTCAAGAGCTATCCATTGTGGTTGGAGGTTAACCTTTTGGGAATTTTATTTGGCGATACCCTGCTCTTCCTTTTAAGCACAATTGTCAGGTCAGACGAGAGAAAAATCCAAATTTGAAGCCTGAAACAGATAAACTCACATCACATATGTAAAAAAAAAAAAGACTCCTGAACGCTGATACATGAATCTGCCTCAAGCTCGAGAGCTTCAACTATTCAGTTCTATTTTCAGTTAATTAATAAGCCAAAGGGTTTAGAGAAACAACATTCTGAGCCAGGTTCAGCCCTTGAAATGACACGAGCATCGGTAAAGTGATGCAGCTCTAATAATGCCAGTGTCACACTGACAGTGCTGGTTGTTGTCTTGTTCTTCCTTCGCTTTAGTCTAGACTAAAAATACCTTAAAGCTACATTAGAAATATTACTTCATTAGAATTTTGGTTAAAATAACACAGTTTGTTCATTGCTTGTCACCGACAACATGACATTTAAAATTTTCCATCTGAAAAACTAGGTGTGTCTGATTGGTGTCTTTGAGCCCACGCCCTGTTGTATTGATGATGTTTTTTTTTTTTTTATGTTTATTTTTGCCTTCAAAAAGAGCATGTTAAGATCGCTGTTAATGGGATATTTTTTAACAATGAAGGCTGCTGCTTGTTGTCCATATTTGGTGTGTCATTTTGTGGGAGGGGCTTAGGGATATGATACAAGTTAGCAAAGAGAGATGCAGAACATTTTTTTCTGTTATAATGTTTGTTATTACTGCCACTTTAACATCTGTTTATTGAAATGCCCCCAAGAAAATGTGATCGTTTTTGCTTTCTTTTGATCCCATTATTTATGACCCAAAACTTCAGACAATATCATTCTTATTGACAAAGAAATGAGACAATTCTAGAAAACTAAGCTGTTTACCTGCTAAACATCAGCATGTTAGCATACTATTGTGAATCTTTTCAAATCAAGCTGAAAGCTCTTCTCCTAAGGGTTGATACCTAATCATGTCAAGGTATTCTTCCAGATCATCTGAGAATGATCTAATAAGAATTCCCTCTTTTTGTTTTTTTCTTCCTCAGTTATATAAAGGACGCATTAATGCCACCAGCCATATGATCCAGCACCCCATGTATGGAGCAGGCCACAAGTATCGCACCCTCCATCTGCCCATCTCCACCACACTGGCTGAAGTCCTGGACCGGGTTTCTGGTATGTAGAGCCTTAAAACATTCCCTAGACAAAAAACTTGGTTTGTGAGGGAAGCTGGGAAGTATCACCAGCCAGTATTGACTTTTGGTATTCCCTAAAGATATTTTGCAGACTTACAGTTATACAATTCATTTAGCAGACGCTTAATTATCCAAAGGGATGAACATCGTAGAGTAAGAACAACACAAGCTAAGATCTAGAGAGGAGGAAACAACGCCAGTAAGTGCAAACAAAGAGCTTTAAGTCGGACAGGCACAGAGGCATAGCACTTTTTTAAATACGGTAATAAATAATAATAATAATAATAATAATAATAACTTTATTTATATAGCACCTTTAAAAACACAGGTTTACAAAGTGCGTTGACAAACAGCAAAAACAAGAACAAACTAAACCAAACACAGAAGAACATAAACAACAGCAAGAACATAACAAATGCAAAATACTAAAAATAATTAAATACAATTCAACAGAAAAGAACCCAAAGTGCACGATACACAACAGACATATATAACCCGACCATCACAAGAACCATCATAAGAACCATTATAAGAACCCAGGCAACACAAGAACCATCATAAGAACCATCACAAGAACCATCATAAGAACCCAGGCAACACAAGAACCATCATAAGAACCATCATAAGAACCCAGGAAACACAAGAACCCAACAACACGAGCTGAGACCAAGAGGACCAAAGATTTAAAAAGATGTAAGAAACTAAAAGAGCTGAAAGCAAATCAAAAGAGAACAGCAATAAGAAGGTAAGAGCAGAAAAAGAAATAGAAACAAGTGGTTAAAGGATCAAAAAAACAAATAATATTAATAATAATAAGTATATATACATATAAAACATAAATAGACAAAGTAAGTAAGGTAAGAAATTACCAAGTTAAAACATAAGAGGAGTTAAGATAAGAGCATAAATAAAAGGACAGTAAGAAGTAAAAGAAGATAAAAATAGTAAAACCAGTAAGAGAAGACATTAAGAAGACGAAATCACATGAAAGCAAGTCTGTAAAAGTACGTTTGAAGAAGGGATTTAAAAGAATTGAGGGAATCTGCGAGTCTTATCTCCTCAGGGAGGTCGTTCCAAAGTCGAGGGGCCCTGACTGAAAAGGCCCGGTCACCTTTAGTTTTAAGTCTCGACTTTGGAACGACCAGGAGACGTTGTTAAGGCATAAGTTAATAGTGACCCTGGTTAACAATATTTTCATATCTCTAGATACCTCTCTTTATGCTTTTTAATTCATATCACTGAAAGCGACAAGTAACATACTAAACACTAGGTAATACTGACATCTGTACTGCCTGTTGTGCGTACCAGAAAGATATTTGCAGGAAATGTCCAAACCTTTCTGTGAGTTTGTTAGTTCACAGCAGCTTTCACAGTCAATTATTATCAAACACTGTTTTTGACGCTTGACTTGAGTCTTCATCAATATTGTTTAGCCCCACAGCTGCTGTTTGTGTGGCTCTGCACACACCAGGACACGATCACAGTGAAACAGGGTAGACCCACTGCTTGTGTTCAGCCTTACCACTCAGGCTTCTGATCCCTTTGGTTGTGTTTTAAATGTTTAAAACGTTTTGAGGTTAATGTCTTTTGACAAGCTTCTTAAACAACAAACATGGAGCCACAGCATCTTAGAGCCTTTCAGTGAAAACAGTTTTGCTGATGTGTTGAGGTTTTACAAATGGTGTTCTTGGACTTAAGTAATAAGATCATCTTCTTTTGAAAGTGGTAGCATGTGGTGTGAAGAACAAACTCTTACCCAGGTTGATTACACAGACACAAACTTTGGAAATGAGTTAATACTTTTAAACCCCACTTTCCAAATTTAGTGAAAAAAGTAACCGTTATACAAAAGATCATAGGATTTTTTCATGGTGCAGAGCAGATTCCTCAAACTGTAAGAAACACACACACGTAATCTTTAACTATCACCATTTTTATTTTTTATTTTTTACAAATGTATAACACAATTGGAGTTTGTTGTTTCAGATTAAAAGTTATACTCGAAGTTGTTTAGATGTTTAAGATAGGAATGGCACCTTGGTAGAGTGTGGACTCAGGAGGAGGCCAACTAGTAATGAGGACTTTTTTTATAGATATAAAAACTATATTTTTTTGAAAGTGTGTGCAACTGACGAAAGAGTGGAAAGCATTATATGCAGCACATCAGCACATTTCTGCTTGCATGTATTCTAGCAATTTGATCTTTTTTTTTTTTTTTTAGAATTTCAGATACTTTATTAATCCCTGAGAGAAATCCTGGTTTACACTTTGTTATTGATAGAAATGCTTCTCACACAGAGATGTCAGAGTGGGGCTGCTACACACTGCTACGCAAGGAGCTGTTGGGGGTTCAGTCAGTACCTTGCTCAAGGGCACCTCTTCCGTACACTTCCGTAGTAATGGTCCTCATCTGGACTTGAACCAGCGGTTCCCAACCCAAGTCCCTATGGATTGAGCTACTGATTGAGCTACTGATTGAGCTACTGATTGAGCTACCCCCATACAAATCTCTATATTAGCTGGATTGTCAAAAGCCACAGATCTGCGTTATATAAATATAAGGTTGTTTAAATTTTGCATTAACATTCCAGTGGCTTGCAAATGAATTACAAATAGACAAATAAGGAGGTAATGTTCAAGTAAAAAGGAAAGACACAAAAAGCAGAATGCTGTAAATAAATATCAGAGGTTGATTTAAAAAAAACAAACAAAAAAAAAACATAAATTTGTTTTCTGCATTTTGGTGAAATCTTATGCACAAAGTCTTCATACGTTCCCTGTGCTGGGTGACCGTAGATCTTCTAACCCGATGAGAGCACATATTTACTGGCATTATCTAAACAGATGTAGCTTAGAATACAGGTACACTTACAGATAAACTGTAGGTCATATATCTGTGCAGTTAACATTTTGACATGTGCTGAATTCTGCTTTCCACCCTGTATGTTTTCCTACTGATTTTTTGCTGTATTCCTTTTCCGATTACATGCCTGAGAAAATATCATCATAGCTGCCCTCCTGTAATCAGCCTTCACTCTAACCTTACTCCTATCAAGAGGTGAATGATTAGGAAGGAGTTTTTAAACCATTACTGCTGCGGTTTTAATTACAGCCTCAATGATTAAGAAATTGCTTCCCAGACGTCAACTCTGTAGTCAGCCATATGCCCTTGTGGTTTCATTCTGTGGATGTTAGTTGGCCATAAAGGTCAGCGGTACAGCATGATGAATGGCTCACCTCCTGGGACCTTGAACAGCTGATAGAAGGCCTGATACACAACTGATGTTATGAATTTGTGTGTGTGTGTGCATGGCAGGGCCATACCATATCTACTGCTTCTACTTTTATCACTGCACAGATGTCTTTTTTTATCTACTTTTATAATAGATTTTTTTTATATCAAGCTAGAGAAAAAGAGGCCTTGGACAAAAATGAATACACACACTCACACACTCACAGGTACACAGTTAATGGTCATACTGCGTTTATAAGAATACATACAGAAAAAAAGTTGATAAAATATCAAAAAAGGCTTCATGAAGATGGAGGACCAAAAATATCTACATGTTCTTCTGCAACAGGAAAAAAACACTCTCTCTGCTGAAAACCAATTATTTTGATTTGTGGTTTAGGGTAAAATATGAAACTGAGATAAGTGTGTAGACTGTTTCCCAGACTTTATCCCCTCATTCTTCAGGATGTTTTTAAGCAATGATCCATGATATATATGTTGCTGATGTAAAAATTCTAATCCAACTCAGCCAAAAAGCCTCCTTGGGACAAAAAAAATGTGACTCTTAATTTTTTGTTCTTTTCTATATTTATCTGACCAGACACACCAAGCATTACAGCGAAACTGATCAATGAGCAGAAAGAGGACAAGGAGAAGAAAAATCACGAGGAGAAGGAGAAGATGAAAGCAGACAACGGCTTCCAGGACAACTACAGTGTTGTTGTGGCCTCAGGTATTTGGATCTGTTCCATTCATGTCTTTGTCCATTTGCAACAAAGTCATCAGCTAATAAGCCAACCTCTGCCTGCCACTGGATCCTGTCCCACAGCCTTAATGCCATACATTAATAGAATTGTGTAGGTTGTGTGTGTACCTGAGGGACAACTTTGGAAATGTCATATATAACTTGTACTTTCAAAGATCACTTCTCTGTAGAGTGTATATTTTTAAATAAAAAGATTTTAAGCTGTATTTTGGTCTTTGAGAACACGACTAACATGCCACTAATAATTCCTTATTGCCTGTCTCTACCATCAGGCTTAAAGTCCCAGTCCAAGCGAGCCCTTTCAACTCCCCCCAGACCTCCATCAAGGAGGGGTCGTGTGATGAGTGACAAGTTGACTGCTTCATCTGGTGTGGACCCTTCAGCCAAAACCATCAGTGTGCCTGTCTTCCACCTCTACCACAAGCTACTTCCAGGTACTGCATTTACAAGTTCAGTTTAAGTTAGAATAGGTTATTTTTGTGCCTCATGAGGTAACAATCCAATATTCAGTTTTTCAGTATTCAAGTGATCTTCTGCGCCACCTCTTAGCTCAGCTTTCAGGCCTCAGGAAATCTAGCATGTGATGGGAGACTTTAGCTATTCCCAGAACATTTTTACAGAGAGAGGGTACCCTTTTTAATGTTTTCTACAAAGCCTGATTAAATACATTTTTCAGTTTTTTTCAGTTCAGGCTCAGCCAGCTACCCCAAAAAATGAAGATCTATTAAAAAAGAGTGACAAAAAAGCAATAAAAAAACAGTTTCCATAGCAACAAAGTGTTCCAAAGATGAGAAAGTGTTTACATTGGCATCAAGTTGGATTTTGCTTTTATTGATCAATTAACCATGCTCTAATACAGCATGTATAGAATGAGAAATAGGTGTATGATGCTTGCTCGAAGTTTGTGCATATGTCAGAGGTCTGCAGTGGGAGGGTTGTGTTTTTGTCAGATTCTCACGTCTTTTCTGTTTAAGCCCTTTGCAGACAGCTGCATACCCCAGCTTTAACATGCTGACTCACATATGGCCACAGGACATCAAGGTGTCAGCCAAAGTTCATGTGTCAGTGAGCTAAATTTTTCCTTTTCCCCCTTTTCTCCCCTCCAGGTCAGCCCCTTCCACCTGAGATGACCCTGGCCCAACTACTGACACTCCTGTATGACCGCAAGTTGCCACAAGGCTACCAGTCCATCAACCTGACAGTCAAGCTGGGCTCCAAGGTCATCTCTGACCCCGGCCTCTCCAAGACGGACTCCTTCAAGAGGCTGCGCACTGAGAAAGGTACCAAAAAACATTAATCTCTAAGGTTTAGTTGACAGTATAGTTGTTACCACTTGTTTCTTACTGGGATCTTTTCATGTACATACAAATTAGCTTTTCTAATAAAGAAAGGGAGAGAGAGAGTGGGGAATGACATGGGGTAAGAAGCCACAGGTGGGATTCGAACCGGGCGGCCCTCTTCAAGGACTACATTGGGGCTAGCCACTCGGCAACCGACACCCCCATGTCAGATTTTCAAAAAGAAGATAGCATGTATAGGTTCACATATATTAAGCTTGGCCTTGAAAAATTGTCCTGAGTTTGTCTTCTTCTATGGGAGTTCAGAAACACACATACAGGTGACTCACACACAGAGAACAAAACGATAACAGAAGGGATTTTAGATAGAAAAATATTCTTATTGAATCATTAAGTATGACAGACTAAAAAGATATATGTCCAGACATTACACTCAATTAGACTTCTTTCAGTGTTTAAGTGCAAAATGGACTGAGCCACCATGCAAGCATATTTTAAAATAACTATTGTGCTCCTTGACAAATGGTGTTTTTTTTTAGCTTTATGTAACATTATTTCAGTCTAGCTCAGGGAATTCAAATTCTAATCGTCCCAAGAAATTCTAAAAACCAACTGGTGTCATCTTCATGTTTGGGTAACTGCTTGTTAACATTCACTGACCCATGGCCGTCAGTATAAATCTGATGTTTGACAGATCAGCCTCTGTCCCAATGCTGCTAAATTCAGCAAAGTTAAAAATACAATTGAATACAAATACAAAAATGTTTAAAACTTCAAATGCAGCTGCATGTTAAATGTTTTTTTTTTGCTGCAGTAGAAATCTAGTCCTCAGCCATTTTTCTGCACCCGCGTCAAGATTAAATGGAGTTGTACTTTGGTCAGGGCTGAGCTCACATCACCTGGACCTTCTCTTGGGTTGCTTTGAAGTCTAAAAGCTAATGGAGTGGTTTTGAGCACAAACCCTTCAATCACAATAACTCTTCTACTTACCTGTGCAGCCTTCAGGGAATTAAAGCTTTTTCATCCATAGAAGTGGGGATATTAAATATTAAATATTTAGATGTAAATGTAACATTCATGTATGTACGGTGGCGTATAGAAAGTTTGTGCCATGCCAGCGTTGTTGTGCTGAATTGATGTAATGTATGTTAAAAGTGTACTTTTTGCTATTTACCTTGATTCCAGTGTGACGGATAATAAAAAGAACAGTGTAGTTTAAAGACATTCAGTCAGCACAGGTTGCAGCTGGGCTCATATTGCTGACCTTTTTATAGCAGGAGGGCAACACTACAACACCACCTGTCCATTTCAGAGGTGGCTGCTTATTTTAGGCGACCTGATTCTGCAGGCTTGAAGGTCGGTTCTAGACCAGATTAGTTTTTAACATCGATGTCTTGTATTGATGATCTCAGCACAGGTGAATCTGCAAAACTGCACAAAAGCTTTTGTCCATTGGATTTGACCTGTTCTATTGTTTCCATTTCAAAAGGTTATAGTTTCATTTTTTCATCACTTTATTCTGGATAGCTCAGCTATTTAGCATTATGTTGTTGTTCTTTTGTAGTAAAACATTGTTTATATTTATCGTTTATTTTCTCAGATTTTCGGTACACCTATGATTTCCAGCATCTTGAAGTGTATCAAAAATACCTCTGTTCAACTTGTTGTAGTAGGGAAGCCCAGTTAGAAGAAATACCATCACTGATGACTCAGTCAATAGAGTGGGACTTTTCAAAACACAAGGCATAGGCTACTCCTGGTGTTTGAGTCTGCACAGATAATATCAGCAGATTAAAGTTTTTTTTTGTTGTTGCAAAAACTAGATTGAGAAAACCACATTCCATATAAATACAAACCTAAAATTAAAATATACATTAAAATATACCCAAGGATAAAAGTTTTTTTTTTTTTTTTTTTAAATGAAGAAAAGTATGTTGACCCCCTGCACCAGCTGCGAACTACACCACCCAAGTATCGTATTATTCTGTGTGACTGATCTTATCTCTTTGCTGATCTTGTCCTTCACATGTGTAGGTGATGTTTTTTTAAATCTAAAAATAGCCTTCTGCTTTTGCAACAGTCAAATGTATCACCCACTTTTATTCTTTGCTGTGGAAAATGTGAAAAAAAGTCTGTTTCTGCATCTTGGAGTTAATCATTTTGTCTGACACCTTCCCCCTAGCTGCCATTTTTGGACGTTAATAACAACTATATAATTTAGAATAATCAATCTTATCACTAATAGTCTTAATTGCTTTTGTTGCTTATAAAGAGACATCAGTATTAATTTAGCCTGTTTCATAACTAGTTAAAATTCCTCACAGGAGCTTTAAAGATGTGGGTAACAAAGTCATTTCATTGTATGTTTGGTAGAGGGTGTAGTGTGACAGACTTTTTCATCTACACATCGTTTTTTTTCTGTGCCTTTTCCATTTTTCCAGTATGGTGCAGAGGGTGTAGACCAATGGTTCTCAAACATTTTAGACTATGTACCACCTCCAAAAATATTTGGCTCTCCAAGTACCACCATTATGGTAGACGTTAAAATACACTGTAGGCCTATTTCTACACACATTTTACGCAAGAGGCAAATTAATTCATTAAAAGAATATTATTTATTATTGACTGTTGGCAGCCACGCTGTAGGACTACTAAGGGCTAGTGCTAGAACTGGCACTTAAACTAACACAACTCTGACATTGACCCAAATAAAAAAAAAAGTGCAGCACAATAAAAATGACAACTTTATACCAACAACCTGTTTGAGAATATTTAGTTTCCAGTGTTTCCCATACAAAGACGATACCTGGGCCCACATACATTTCCGACCTGTTCTTATTTAATTTTTCATTTATTCATAAAATTGCTGCATGCGAGAGAGTGCAGGCTCTGTGCAACCAGAGCCTCTGTACTATAAGGCTCTGCGTTCAACATAGCAAAACTCCCTTTAGAAAAAATCCTTCTCGACTCCTGTGCATAGTTAAGACAGCAAAATAGAGCAGAATCACATCAGCTTCAGAGCGAGAGAGAGAAGGTGAGCGACTGTCCATACACTCTTGCATCAGAGTGAGTAAATGCATCACAACGGAAGCGTCTCCTGGCTCCGTTTTAAAAATGTTAATGTACAGCTGCTTACCACTAATTCTGTGCTGATCTCCAAAAAATAACAGAATATCTGTTAATGTAGGCCTCAGTACTGAACTATAACGGAATATTGAGTGGAACTTTTCAAAACGCGAGGTGTACTTCTGTTGTTGTTTAAGTCGTTTATTGCAAAAACTACATCAATTTAGAGGGGAAAAAACATTTGATATAAATACAACCCAATAGATACAAGACAGATAAGAGTATGAGAAAAAAATTGACGTTTTAATGCTGAACGTTTTTTTTTTTTGTTTGTTTTTTTTTAAATATTGTTGAGATTTATTTGCGTACCACTACAAGAGAGCCCGCGTACCACCGGTGGTACACTTCATCCACAGTGCTTACAGCCTTCCATTAAAGTTGATGACATTAAGGTTCAGTCTTATGGCCTCCCTTTTTACATGCAGCAGGAAGCAGATAGGAAACAGCTTGTTATTCTTCCACCCTAACATTCCCAAAAATGAGCAGCCACTGATTTGCCACTTCCCCTCTAATGAACCTCGAATAAACTCCCCCATTCTTAAATGTGCCCATTGCCCCGACTCTAGCCACACGATGAGGTCAGTCATGATCTTTATTTAACCAATATGTCCTTCCTATCTGTGGCTGCTGAATTCAGATAGCCTCATTACAGGAGCTGTAGAGATTGGACAGCCAGGCGCATTGAGAGACTAACAAATAACTTGGATTACTGGCCCAGTGGAGGCTCTCCGTGATGCACACGCTGCATAAAATAATTCATTTTCTAAGAGTTTTGACAAGAAGGAAGCATGGTTGAAATAAAAAGGTTTCCGCTTCATGAATGTCACTTCCTTTTTATGTAAGACTAACTCAACTTGTGTAAAATCATATTTTAGCAATGCTGGTCTATTTCTCAGGCAAGCTGCCTAATGAGCCTCTTGTTTTGCTCTCCAGATAGGGAGAATTCTCTAATCCTGTTTTGGAAATTCAACCCCCTTAATCTCTGCAGGAAACCCTTGTAGTCTAGTTCCATGTCAAGCAATGAATCATCCACCTAATTTTCTCCTCTATAAAAGGAGATTAGTGGCTCTTTAGAAGATGACCCATCAATCAACCAGTACTTAAAATAGTCATAAATCTGCAAGGCCATGCCATCAAAATAAAGTCGTGGTGGGTTAGCACCTCTGACTGTTCTTCTAGCCCTGTGTTTCGACTTTGTCTTCATTGCTGATGGTAATGTAATCAAGGTCATCAGGATGGTGATATGTTTTCTTCTTTTTGATCAGCACACAGCCTATTAAAGGAAAGTGCATCCTAAACTGGAAACGTAAAGCGTCGTTTGTGACTGCAGTGATTGGGCCAGTGATAGGCAGTGCTTAAAGATGGTCTGTGGTGACCGATAACTGTTTTTAAGGTTTTTATTTTATTTTTCCTCTGCTCTCTGTTTGGTTGTGTAAGAAGTCATAGAGCTGCCAAAGAAAAACAGCTACTGAAATGAACTTTAATGCCTTTCATATCTAGGTTAATTTGTGGGGAGGCTGCCAGAGTGGTCCCAATGTCACAATCAGTTACAAGGCAAAAGTTTTCCAGTCATGTGAAGCGCCTTTGTGACCAAAACGGCAGCATATTTTCTGTTTTTATACCTGGAAAATATTCTAAGATGATGCACATTGTTTTGCATGACATGCTTAGTTCTTAAATACTATGCTAACACAGTGCATGAACATACAACAGGCCCTCTCTTTGCTCTCCTTGCAGTTGACCACTGTGACATGCTGAACAGCTGTCCTGAGGACGAGCCAATGACGCCCGGTGAAGAATGTTCAGATGCTGCCACTGATGAGTCCCTGCTGGAGACCAACCCCATCCAGTCACCTCTGCAGGTCTTTGCAGGCATGGGGGGCCTCGCCCTCATTGCAGAGAGGCTGCCAATGCTCTACCCTGATGTCATTCAGCAGGTGAGACTCAAAGCCCGCCACAGAAACAAGCGTATGCTTTGATGAGCAAAGTTAAAAGTAGGAATGTCATATCACGTATTTTTTGAAGGAAACACTGATTTTATTCAGCTTTTGGCACTTAATTTGGCTCATATTTCTGACATTGTTTATAAGGATGGTATAAACACTTTTTCTTTAAATACAATCTTGATTTCTTAAAGTTTTTTGGGGGGCTTTTCTTAAGTCATGTTGCTATGGAGATTGATCGATCGAACTGTGAATATTATCTGTTTTACTGAATCATCTGTGATTGTAAAATAATTGGATTCAGGAGTCTGATCATAATTGGATCAATAATTCAATTTGGTGATCTGGCTCACATGAAAACTTCTTTAGAGAACATCTTGTGAAGAAGACAGTGCTTGGGGTAATTTAGACATGGCGTCATCTCATGGATTGTCAAGCAGAGTGCAAAGATTTCCTGCAAACTGCAAAATGTACTTTTTGTATACTTTTGTGCAACTTGGATAGTGTCATGTGATCTCATCTCCTCTGATGTTTGTCTGTAAGAGAAATAATAGTAACTTTTGCATCTTTATCAGACACCTAAAGGACTTATGAAATGTCAGCATAAGATGACATGTGAATTTAAATGGATCACAGCTGCTCTCTCTCTCTTTTGCTCATTGCCGCTTTGGGTTAAAATATGACTGAAGATCTTTTTTAAGTATCTATGGTTTTAAATCACTGTGTATCAATAAGTATTGAACATATTGACAACAATAGTTGACAATTTAAAATTCTATAACAAATCTTTAATAAATTGACCAAGTCATCTGTAGAGACGCTGTCATCTTTCATGGTGACTGTGTGTATGGCTGAAAGCTCTGAAACGCAAGTTGTTCGTGGACTGAAAGTTTGTATTTTGTATTTTAACTCCTCATAATGAGGCTAAAATCATTGTAATGATGTTTAAGAATAACTATAAGGTGAAGCTGATCAGCAGTGTCTCCTCTTCCTCTGGCCTGAATTTGCAATATCCTGACACTGCAGAGTTTCTGCTCTGTTCTCCCTAATTCACCTGTCAGCACTGTCTCATGTTGCCTCCTCTCACCTTTGCTAAATTTAACCTCTGCTCTCCTGAATGGCCGTTCACAGGTCAGCGCCCCAGTGGTGGCCTCTGCCTCACAGGAGAAGCCCAAGGACAGTGACCAGTTCGAGTGGGTGACCATCGAGCAGTCAGGCGAGCTTGTTTATGAGGCGCCCGAGTCCATTGCCACCGAGCCCCCGCCCATCAACAAGCAGCAGTCGCAGTCATCTTCATCGTCATCGTCCTCTGTACAGACCATGTCACCCATCCCTGCTCACTCGCTGGCAGCTTTTGGCCTGTTCCTGCGCCTCCCAGGGTATGCAGAGGTGCTGCTGAAGGAGAGGAAGCATGCCCAGTGTCTGCTGCGTCTGGTGCTGGGTGTCACAGATGACGGAGAGGGCAGTAAGTCTAAATCACCAATTGGCTATGACCCTAGAGTAACGCTCTTTTATTGCTCAACTTTTTAAAAGTTGTTTACATGAATTATGTCTATAAGCGACAATGTAAAAACAGTATTTCTTCATGTATAGATGTTTTATATAACCAAATCACATTTTCTGATACCGCTGTCTGCTATGATCTCCTCTTAGGTCACATACTGCAGTCTCCATCAGCCAATGTGCTGCCCACGCTGCCTTTCCACGTCCTGCGTGCATTGTTCAGCAGCACTCCTCTGACCACTGATGACGGCGTCCTACTGCGGCGTATGGCTCTGGAAATCGGCGCCATCCACCTGATCCTGGCCTGTCTGTCAGCTCTCAGTCATCACGCCCCCCGCAACCCCAACGCCAGCACCAGTGTGTCTGAGGTACGGCCCAAACACACACACACACACACACACACACACACACACACACACACACAGACACAGACAAACAGACAGTTAAAATGATCTTCATGAAGACTTTCACTATATCCTTATTCTATTTCTACATGTGTAAATACTTTGAAAACTCTGTTGCTATAATGTTCTTGTCCGTATATTTTAAAGATACAGTATTCTTTTTGATCCTTTTTACCACTGCAAATTTCAACCTCATAATGTTCCTTTACCATGTTCCATTAGTTCATGTGCAGGAATTCTCAAATTCGTCATATCTATAAAATAGTGTACTTTATTTAACCCATTTACCAATAAATGAAAATCTTCAAAGTTTTAAGGGTTGTCTTTAGAAGATTGACATTTGCAGCTTTTTTCACCACGTAAGCCCCTGACCCACCGAACAGACGGATGAAGGCAGGCTTTTTGGCTGGTTTTCAATCATCCGTTGAACCTTGAACTTTTGACTCTGTGCGTCAACCATAAAAAGGAAGACAAAACACTGTCTGAAAATTAAACAGAATTCAGACTTTTAAATAAAACAACTGATCCAACTCTACACCATCAGAACACAATGTCACTCTGTCTGAGTGATTGTTTTGTTGTTCAGACTAATAGAGAAATAAGGGTGAAACATCCTGGTGTCTATTTATGCTTTCTGCCTCACTGGCCTTAACTCCAGGTCCTTTTTGCATTTCTAACACTGAGCCTTTGACAAATGGGTTAATTGTTCGGCCCAAATCTAGAAGGCAAATTGAGATTTGGCATGCCCTTTTTATTACTGACCACTTCAGGGAGAGACGCCTCAGACAGAGATGTTATGAATAGTGTAAGTGGAACTCTGGAAAGAACCTAAATGTTCAGTCAGAAGTTTCAATGAGACCCTGCCTCATTTTAAAGAGTTTTCAATCAAAAATTCAACAGTTGTTGTATTCACACAAACACAAAACTTCTGAAATATGTAGGTGTATGCTGCATGTGTGAAGAGACACATTTTTCACCCAGACTTCACCCTGACTTTTTCCTGCCAGCCCATAAGTCAAATTTCGATGCATAGTCTGGCTGAGTCAGGGAAGCAGGTAAAAGTCAGGGAAATTCACAGTACGAGAGTGTGATGACATTTATATCACTCAACGAGTGAGCTGCTAGTGCTAATGCAACATGGTGGAAACATGTTGATTTTCACTTTCATACAAATGGCACTTCTATTCTTTTACGAGAGGTTGGACTGACAGAGACGAGAAACAAACCTGAGCTCTAAAATAAATTTAAAAAAACACAACCATTCTTGTTGTTGGGCATGAATAATTCATGCATTAAATTAGACCTGACCTTTGCTGGCTTGGTTGTTTGGTAAGGACAAAACATTTTCTGGAACTTGAATGAAAGGAGGGTTGGCACACTCTGAATCAAACCTGCCTTGTTTTTGTTGTCATGGTGACATCCAGTCTGATGCTCCATTCCCCCCCACCCACTCTCTGGATTTATGGAGTTGTCAAAGCTGAGGACTGATCATGGGGCTGATGTCTTGAACTTGAGCCAAAGACTTGTCACTGTGGTGGAGTCTGTCCTTGAGCCCGCCAGTAGAGGAGCTGCCAATGGAGCACTAATGGGAGAAAAGATGTGGAAACACATTGTTTTAAATGGCACACACATCCAATAAAACGTCAACTTCTTATTTCTATATATGACATGACACTGTTAACTACCATCCTTGTGGCCTCCTGCAGTTTACACAATATCTTTAGTAACGATCAGAACCTCACTTTATAATAACGGACAGTTTTTAATTTAGTTTTGACTAAATCTGCTTACGACTAACTAACATGATAATCTTTTTATCACTACAAGTGATGTGAATAAGAAAGACAATAAAAGTTACTCTTAATTCAAAATATATAATAGACTTAAAAATCAATGACTAGAGCACACTGATTGCTGATTCTTGTTTGCTGTCTGTGAGTCTACTTGACTTGAAAGAATAAATCAGTTGTTATAATAATAAGAAGTCTGCTTTTCTGTCGTGGTGATGGAAGATTTATTTTTAGTGAAACTAGTCAAATCTTTACTGGGCTAATAGAATGTAAACCCCCATTTATCCAATGTCAACATTGGATGATAGGTGGGGTGCCAGTCAACTACGTTCTCCATAGATAAGCAATATAGATAATGCATGGATGGATGAATAACAAACTACAAAATCATATAGGTCCATAACATTGCATACTTGCCTGTAACCAAACCAAACCACACTTCAAGCTTTGTAGGAGGTGTTTTAGGAAGGAATTGGAAAAAGTCCATCTTTCTAACCTTTTACATTGTCTCTCGTTACCAGCCCCAGATGTCCAGTTGTCACGGTGCGGGGACCAGCGAGGAGCAGCAGTTGTACTGGGCCAAAGGAACCGGTTTTGGTACTGGATCCACAGCTTCAGGGTGGGATGTAGAGCAGGCCCTCACCAAACAGCGACTAGAAGAGGAGCATGTCACCTGTCTACTTCAGGTCAATCTACCTACCTATTACGACTGTTTCTAAAACCAGATTTTAGTAATACACTAACCTCAAAGTGTGTTCAAGAGTGTTGTTGTTTTTGTATCCAAGTGTACCTGTAAATATTAGTTTGGATCTTTACACTTTCTTAGACCTTTGTCATTACCATGGTCCTTATTTACATGAGATTATGATGCCTTGAAATAGACCTCAGATGTTTAAGTGAAGAAAATATCTGCCTTATGCTGTATTGACAAACAGTTTGTGAACCTCTGGCATGCCATAATGACAGAAAAGTACAGGGCCCTTAAAATGGACACTTGAAGTGTGATGATGTGTTAGAGGTTGGAGTTTAACCTGAACTGCTTTTTATGCCTTTGTTTGCACTTCTTAATCAATTTCCAAGAATCATCAGGATATGCCTGTCTTCCAAAATGATGAATTGATTCTCCTGCATAAAGCCCCCTTCAATGTTTAAATTAAGATAAATGTACGGTTCCTCTTTAACGATGGGTGGTTAATAGCCGAGTGTACATACTGTAGTGACATGGTCAAAGACAGGTATTGTCCTTGATGGCCCTGCTCCATGCTGGGTCATGCAGAGATCATACTTGAACTTGTCCAATTAGCAAGTCTTTTCAGTCACTCGTTTGAAAGTTTGTCTACCCTTTTTTTTGTTCTCCAGGTTCTGGCGAGCTACATTAATCCAGCAGGCTCCAGCAGCTGCCACAGTGCTGATGCCTCTTCAGCAGACAGCAGCGCTCACAACAGTTCAGCTCTACCAGCCGTTCTGCAGGAGCTGCTGAGCCAGTCCTGCCTCATCCCTGCCATGTCGTCCTACCTACGCAATGACTCAGGTAAGCTTGCTGACTGTTCTTCGTGCAAATGACAGACATGGTGGCATAGCGAGCCTGAGAGCACCAGCAACCACTACCGTGTATACCCTGCATCCTGAACTGAATGCTACTGATTGAAACTCTGTATATGCTTTATGCATTTCAACAGAGTATCATGATCACCAATCATAAGGGGAAGAAATGTAGATTTTTCTGAATAAAATTGCATTCCTGCCAACTTACACCTACTTGTTCATTTCAATGGCAACAGTCTGCACATAACAATGTTTGTGCATCCTTTCACAAGTTGTTTTTTCCAAGGTCAGTACAGTTCTCATTGATCCACTCATATCTGATCTATGCCAGTTGTTGAAATGGTCTAAATTTTCTTTCTGTCTGCGGTCTCTGCTCATGATGTGAAGTTCTTTGAACTGGTTGCCTTTTGATGCTAAGATATTGGATTTGAATGACTCTGGTTTAAATTTCTTAGTCCTAACTGGAGGGCAGAGTTTTTGCTTTTAAGCCTCTATTTTAATGGAAGCTGCTTCTGTGTTACAATTACAATGTGTTACAAGTACAAATGTGTGCTGGGGATGGGGGATTTTTGCTAAATGAAACAGCAGATGGCGCTACAGCATCTTGACTGAAGCCGAGATTTGTGTGTGTCTTATTGTTGAATACCACCAGATCCCAGTTAATGAATTTAATTCATTCAGGCTTGTCAGTGACATCTTCAGACCATCATCTTATTTTTACACTCAAAAAAAAATAAAGGCTGGTCCTTCAGTTATTATCAGTTCTTCTAATCTCATCCCAGATTTAATCTGATGTCATAGTGTTGTTGTTCATTGTTCAGTGAATTGGATGAAACTGTTTTTTTCAGAGAGATATGGGAGCTTTGTCCTTTGTGGATATTTTAAAATCATGTTGCATTTTGAACAGTGCGATATGATACTGTTATCGTGTACCCCTGAGCTTTAAATGGCGTGTTGGTGTCAGTGGTGTGGTGCAGCTTTAACCAGCTCGATTTTTGCACATCCTTGTTCCTTCAGTTTCCTTTTAGCAGATAAGCTTCCATCAAAGTGCTCAGTACACAGTGGACTGTTCAGGTCAGGTCAGTCCATTGCTTATATCCTGCCCCAGTGCCTCAGGGACATACTGGTTATTAGTTCTCTGCTGACTCTTCGTTGTCCAGCTGCAGATGTTTTTCAGGAGGGTGTGAAAAATGGCTACCAAAAAAAAATCTGATTTTTTAAAATTATTGTTTTTTTGATAAAACAGATAAAAAAAAATGTAAGGGAAATTTTTCCCCACCAATGTAACATGAAAAGAGTAACATAAAAGCAGTTTACGGTCATTACCCCAGGCTTTTTTTTGCTTTACAAAGCTCTTAACAATGTGTTGTCAGCTCTTTGCTGTAATGCAGACAGTGAGATGTGTTGAAGCCCTGAAGGAAAAGCTAGTAAGTAGACCTTGAGTATAAGAACAGTTTTTTATTTAACTACTCCTTCAGGGTTAGTATTGAACATTAAATACAAAGAGAAATAATATATTAAGAATGATTTAACCTTTTTTAAATTATAACTATGGCTGCTATGTAAAGTGCCCATTAGTTATGACATTCATACACTGCTTGAGCTGGGGATTGAACCTCTGACCTTTTAGGTTGAGAGACAACCGACTTTATCACTTATCCACAGCCGCCCTGGTATAACCATGTGTCTATTACTTAACACTTTATCCATTTTTGATATCATTTCATTCATTTTTAAAAGTAACCATGTATGTTTGGATTTTTTTTTTTTTTTAAACAAGCCTATACCATAGATAATTGGTCAATATTGGCTGATCATATTAGCAGACTTATAATGAATTTCCAGGTCAATTTTAAGAACTATTTTGCCAAGGAAATGTTAAGTAACTTGGAAGTAATTTCCTTTTTAGTTGTAGTGATCCAGGGGTGAAATTCTCTTGCATTCATCAGCAGAGAAGCAGTCTGAGAAAAGGGAATGATGGGATCTCTATTTTAAATTTAGCTTGATCAGACTATTTTTATGTAAAGTTCGGACAGAATAGTGACATGAGGATTAAGCATCACTGTTTCTGCTCTCCCATTACCATTGTGTGCTGTCGCTTATCAGCCCAGAGCCAGTCACAGCTGAGTGTGTGCCACCTCTGTGTGCCTATGCTGCTGGGGTGTTTCAGTTTGCAGGAGTATCTCTCTGTGTGCATGCTGATGTGTGCTAATGTGCCGCTGGTCTCATAATTAAATAACAGCTGATAAAAAGCATTGTGAATGTTGTAATTGTTCCTCATTATCTTGTAAACGCCTCTGACACACGATTACATGCCAGTGTGTGTATGTATGTGTAGTTTAGTTTATAGCCCTTTGTTTGATTAGGCTATTGCCACAAGCTTTGTGGATGCATAGCCCATTGTCCTTTAAAATCTTTACATTTAACACTCTGTTAAATAACATATGACATAACTCTGTGCTAACTAGCCATTGCTTACAGCTCATGAAAGCAATGGTGCACTGAGTCAAATGAAAGATGGGTGTTCCCGGATCGCCTTCTGTACTCTATCCACTGTCCTATCTCTCCTTAAAGGCACAAAAAGCCCCAAAATAAGTATTTTAATTATCCCTACCTAAAGGAAATTACTCACGTAAAATGTTTGATGAAAATTCACCATTTTTTGGCATTTGCTTTCTCTGACTAATGAGGCTTTTAAACTTGCAGAAAACTCCTAAAAAAAAATACATGCATGAATGCAAACATTTATCACTCAGACTTCACCCGGTGTTTCTCCTGCCAGACCCCTAGTATTTTTTCTGCAGCAATTCAGGGTGAGCCGATGTGAGAACTCAGCAGGATATTCTCTGGAGAATTCACCTCAAGCCAATAGGAGGGAGATTGACGTTTATATACAGTGACTGCTGCACGGTGATAGAGTGTATGCATGCAACCTCACGTAATTAAATGGCTGCATTATGTTTTCTGTTCGCCAGTGTGTTTTTCTCCACTCTTTTGTTGATAGTGTTATTCCGCCAAACTACTCGTGAATAGCCAGGTCAGGAGAATATTCAGAGCAATCCTCCTGAAATTATCTAGATATTTTCAGGAGTGTATATGTGAAAACGGATTAATGTACAGTGTACACTTTTTTCTTTGCTCTGTTTTTACTGCTTGTTTAAATGGGCAACTCATTGGTTACATATTTCCATAACAACTTTATGTCAGCTCTCCCACAGCCCCTGCTGTTGGCCAAATAATCAGTTTATACAGCATTAACAATATGAAATACAAAATCAATTTGTTGAGGATGAATTGCCTCATCTACCTCTTTTAGAGGGAATTACAATACCAATATATTTAAACCAAGCATCATTAACCATATTCCACTGTGTTCATTAAGAAACAAGTATCATTAGAGACCAGCCCATTCCTCTAATTCAACTCCTTTTTCTTGTTGTTCTTCTACATCATTGCCTCCTTCTAATATGTGGAGCTAAAGAAGCTTATGAGGCCCCCAGAGAGCAGGGAACACTTAATAAAACCTATTTTGCTCACCCATTTACCCTATTGCTCATCTAAGGTTAAATCCAGAGAATGATCCCTTCCTAATGATTTTAGTATGTGGTTTAGTGATGAACCACTGTATCAGAACATAGGGAAGCATGTTCCACTTAATAATACCACTAATAATCAGCTGTATTAAAGAGTGTGTGTGTATGTATGTATGTATGTATGTATATATATATATATATATATATATATATATATACACACACATATACATATAAACCTGAAAATGGTGTGTGACTTACATAATACAGATTTGTAAAACTGTGTACATGCGCACCTGGATGCAACGTTGTCTTTATAAATCATGATCTACCTGGAGATGTGTGCACGTGGCTCAGCCTCATATTCTTCTCTCTGCATTCACACACTCAACCTCATAAGGTCAATGCAAAGCATCTCATGAATGAAAAGGCATACAAATAAGCAGGCAGATCAGAGGTTACTAGCAATGAATCATAGTGACAACCGAAAAGAAGACAAAAAAAACAACTTTCTGACACAGGTATCGAGTTGCTTGTGAATGAGATGGAGGTTTATTGCTGGTTTGTCTCTGAAGATGTGTACAATAAAGAAATCCTATCTTATCTTGGCATGTTTGCTGGCATGTTTGTCATTATGGTTTTGTTACAGAAAAATATGCTTGGTAATTTAGAAAAAAGTACAAGGGTATTTTTTTACAAAAGAGCAAACTACTGTAATTTTTAATACATCCAGCATTGTCTGCAGCACATTCAGCAGAGAACAGCTGAACAGACAGGGGCTTGACAATGGATGATAATGTGTAATCAACATTTGACAATTATTTGCTGAAGACTGCTTTCTTAGTCATATCAGTGTAAAACGGTGCATAAGCGTTCATTTAAGGTTATAGTTCAGTGTTCCTCCAAAAAATTCTAAACATATCTTGCTCCTTTTCAAAGCATTAAAAACATTTTGCTATTTTACTTTAGGTGTCAAAGGGCCTAATAAATTCAAGGCTTACCATGTAAAAATTCAGCAACTGGAAGTAAGCTCACAGTCTAGGTAAAAAACTTACCTGAAGCAAGTATAACCTTCCTAATGTTTTTAGAATAAGTTTCTGTTAAAAAAATAAGTCCATACCAATCAGGCAAGATATTTTCAAATACTTCTCTAATAGCCCACAGAGCCAGTGACAGCATTGAAGCTGAGCTCTTAGCACTGAAATACTTTGACCAACATTTTACCACAAGAAACCATTGAGCCTTACATCAAACACTTGGGGTTATTGTTAACATCGGCATAAAGTTTTAGTGGACATTTGTGATTTCCATATACAATTATATTAACTGCATTATCTAAATCACCCATACATTCCCCTAAAGAAATAAATCCCCTTCTCATCTCAGAACTACCCCTAACTACATTTGCCCCATAGTCTTACCTCGTGTATTCTAGCTGCTGTTTTCCCTCGTACCCAGAGCTCCACAGTCCCGTCAGGCTAGCACATTGCTCCACATTAATCATCCGTAATACCTTTGAATGGCACCACACCACCAATTCATCTTAATTGAAAGATTCATTTCTACTATGTTTTGTTAGACATCAAATGGTTTTCTGATCTGATGTGGGATTTTCATGTATGTGTTTTTCTACCAACCTTAAATCCCTTGAGTTCTACCATTCAATTCCTCTTTTGACTTGCCAAGACACACAAGATTTAAAGTTAACCGAGGTACCACTAGGCAACACCACTTATGTAATGGCTATAGTGTGGGAGTGTTAATGGAAACTCCCTTTCCATGAATAATCACATTCCTGAGTGAAAAGTAGGAGTTTCAGTGAAATAAAAAAAATAATGCCTTTGCCTGAAGTTTTTCCCCTCATGCACAGGTGAGGAACTTCTACATCAAAACCTCATATGCATTTCAGGGGTTGACATTAAGTTAAATTTCCCCTCCGGGCCACTAGTTTTCAATGATCACTGGCCCGACCATTGTAGCCGCTGGCCCAGGAACGTTACTTTTGATTCGAAAAATAACAGTCACCAATTTAATCTTGAACCATTCTGATGCAAACGTCAATTACAACTTTTATTTAATGAATTGAGCTCTATTATATAGTTTTTAAAATAATTACACCGGTATGACAGGAAAGCACTGTGAAATTGAGAATGTGTCTATTTTTTTTCAGGCAGTATTTGAACTGGCCCGAGCTGGCCAGCTGATCGTGCAATCAGCTGGCCCGGACTCTGTCAATCATTCATCCGGGCCAGTTATAATGTCGAGCCCTGCGTTTACTTTAAGAATATCCCCTGTCACAAGATATATTGCTGGACTCAGTACAAGGTGAAATCTAAACAAGCTATAGCACCACCTTCAGTCATTACCACTCCATCCCTGAGGATTTGCAATTTATCGCTGCTCACCCGTGAAAATGTTGATTCTATTACCACGGGCCTTTTCTTCAAGCAGTTGAAAAAGGTAGATAAGTGGGCTGGGGGCAGATTTGAGGAGTGGGGTGGCACCAGAGGTGATCATCTTTGCAATAACAGGAGCCATGCTATGCTTTTCCCTGATTTATAACCTGACTGTGTAGGATAGGACTACAGATGCTTGCCACTCTGATTTCTTGTATCCATCTCATAGAAGAGCCGATAAGGGCTCCAAGATATCAGTATCTCTGTTTGTGTTTCCAATATGTGCCAGTATCGACATTTTTTACAGAACTAATTTTGCTGATAAAAATTCTTGGGGTTATTAAAAAATGGGGTCAAAACATTTTTCTCAACAGAGCCTCACTGCTTAGCTGCCATTAGGACACATGGAAATTACTTGACAATTTGTAATAATTTTAGATATTCTTTAAGTTATTTCCTTAAGAAATCAACCTTGTGAGTTCTATTGCATTGTAATATCGCAGCAAAACAGTGACAAGTGAAGTTAGAAAAGGTCTAATCACATTCTGTCTTCAGAGGAAAAAAGAATGGCCTCCTAATTTAAGTTTTTCTCTTCAGCAGTCAGTATCGGTTTTTCAACACCATTAACACTCAGGCTCTACTGAGAAGCCAAATTCCAATTCCACTTCTTTTTGAGCAGTCGGTAGACTTTAAAAAGATACTAATTTTTACATCTTTGAAGTAATGATGATGGTAGGATCAAAGACAAAGATCCTCATAACTATGTCTTTGTATTTGCATACATTTAACCTACAATATTGCTTTTGAATCCTTTTTATTTTAAATTTTAAGATTTTTCAATCGCAGTCACAAGAATACCTGTACCTTAAACCTGCATATATCATTCTATAACATCTGCGATGTCCCAAATGGTTTACTTTCAGTCACACTTCCTGAGTTATTTCCCACAGACAAGGCTCCAGAATATCCTTAATGATATCCTCTGATGTTTATTGTTCAAATATCCCCTATTCCACAACACATCTAGACTCTGTTTAAATATTTATTAAAAAATACTTTTTAATACAGGAAAACAACATGAACAAATAAGTCGATAGAATCCTTCAACACCACTTCAACTCATATTCATCTTGTATATAAATCAGTTACATTGTTCAGGTTAATGTAACTCATTTCTGCAGATGTAACAGACCCGTTTTCAATAAAAACATCTTCCCTCCTTTGTATTTTCACATCTTTCTTGAAGTAGCATTTATAGAAATTCACCCTCGATGATTTTTTGATGGTTATCTTTTGTTGATCAAACGCATTTTGGAGACAACAATACAACAGAGTTTGTCTGGAGCTACATTTCCCCAGAAAGCTACTCTTTGACGTGGGCTCTGAAGCTATAAGAATTTTGGTCCTGAAGCCTACTTGCATTTCTTTGCAGCAACATCCTAGTGTAACTCAAAGTCCCTTCTCACTTTGTAATCATGTGGCCTAAAATCCCTTTTAGACAAGAAAAACAGTCAACCAACTTTAAAATGAAGTAAAATGAATGAAAAAAGCATCAGTTATGTCCACAAGACTACATTATTTGGCTTATGTTTCCAAAGTAAAGCAGTCCAAGAAATTTAGATCAAGGTGAAGTTTGTAATTCCTGTCAAGCCACTGAGGGTTCAGTCCTGGCTGACAGCTTGTAGTGTCCGTCTGTCCCTGATCACGGAGGTTCGAGCAGAGCTCTGTTCCTGCCATGTCATCCAGCCCTTTGTTATCTCCCTGGCTCATGGCTGTGACTTGAAAATACGGCTTCTTCATCCTCATCATTATCCAGTCTTTCCAGTTCCCTCCTTCTCTCTGTGGGGAAGATGTTCATGTCCAGCCTCTTTCCCCAGAACTTGTGAATTTCTAATTAAGAGGTCCCTCCCTGCTTGCACACAAGACAGACTGTTTGAGGTCCTGTATCTTCTGCTTTGGAACCTCACAGTGTGGTGTAGATGTAAACAAAGACAATTACAAAAAGGTTAAGGAATGTGCCAATAATGCCTAACATTGCCAAAATGGACTCTTCCTGCTCCTCCTTGATCTCCAGTGCCTGCACATCCTCAATGGTGACGACTGTGGTGCCCATGATCCTGATGCTCACCTAGCCTGGCAAGGGAACCCTTATCTGGAATAAAAGGACATTGTGGATAATTGAATCAGGAGTTGTCAGTCATGAAAACATGGTCTGATTAAACATGCTGCTTCTGAGCAAGGCACTGTTTCTTTTGTCCTCCTGGTCATTATCCAGTTTGTGTGCAAAATCCAGACCAGAACTGCTCTCGGTTTTTGGCAGCCAAGTCAAGAAGAAAGAAATCAATCTTGAATATAACAACACAATGGTCAGGCAAAGAGGAGTGATATTAATCTATGAACAACCTTGTTTACGACCAGCTACAGCTTAAAGCAAGCTCCTCAACAACAGTGAGCTTGACACCCACCCTCATTTTTTCATAAGTCTTAAAATATTAACCACCACCAGTTCCTTGTCAGTAGTTATTCTAAGCATAATTTCCACATTCACAATGATGGAAGATTGGAAAGTAAGGACAAGGAGTAGGGAAGGATGTCATCCTTAATAGAAATGTGTGAGCTAAAAGGTAAACAGGATCATTCTCGGCTCAGGCTGATTTGCGAGTGGGTCTACAATCATCCTCATCCCCTTCAACTCTAACGTCAACATGCAGTGTAGTTGACTCTGACAAATGACTTCTTTAGAATTCGAGAGAAAGAAATATACAGACACTTCATTTTACAAAGGAAGCTTGGCTTACCCTAATGCGTCTAAAGTGTAAGACAACCTCATCCGGCATGCTTTTTGGATCCTCACTGGAAAGCCATGGCTTTGGGGGCATGCTACATGTGGAGACCTGGGAGAGAGGGAAGAGAGAACGGCAGTGTAGCCACAGTACCAGTGCCTGTAAGCAACACAGTGACAGAGAGAGGCAGAGATGTCACGACAGCTTCGTAGTGCTCAGCAACGCTTCCAGTGAAAAACTCCTTGTGTCATTTCTGCACTCTTCCAGTCTGTAGTGCCACCTGTCAGGATCAACAAACTCCCAAAATTCCCTTGCGATTGAGTTTTCCTTCACAAGTCTTTGCAGTCAGGTTTTTAAAGCGGGGGCTGCTAAATCACTCGCAGCATCTGTTTAGGGGGCGAGGAGGAACCCTCTCCCCATTTGCCCCCTCCGCCTCCCCACTGTTCTTCTCATCCTTTCCTTTCTGCTTTCTCTTTTGAGTCCCTTGTCACTGTTTTGCCTAAACTCGTCCACAAACTCCTCCACCTCCTTCTCACTTCATCAGTGAATGCACACACCCCCTCTTACTGTATTGTTGCTCTCGAATGCTCCGGACTCCCCAGGGCAACAGTGCAATTAGCACCTTTCAAAAAAGCAGCAAAACCATCGGGACAGTCCAAATGCCAACCATAACAACTCTTTATTGTGTCTGTAGGAAAAGCTGATAGTGACACCCAGCTGTGCCGAGCTAGGTAAGAACAGACTGATCCCTAAAACAGTCGCATCTAGCTGGTGATATTCCAGAAGAAAAGGAAAAGCTGTAAAATCCCATGAAGCAGACGTCTATAGAGAGGCAGAGGCAGCCGGAGTGCCAGACAGTCGCGATAGCATTATGGATCTGCCCCTACCGCCAGTGACAGCAGTGTAGGTCTCCAACACCAGTTAGTCACTGGGGGGGGGGGGGTCTGTGAATTGCATAACCAAGCAGAATGATGGCGAGAGAGGGGAGGTTAGAATCCTGATGGCCGTGGTAATGAAGGAGAAGCAGCATGAGAATGAGAGATGGAGAGAGAGGGAGAAAGGGAGGGGGAAACAGCACTGCTCATGCTTACTGTTGTCTCCTCCTCTCCTACTGCTGTGGGGGCTGGCTGAGAACACACATGCACACACCCGTACAGCTACCAGTTAAACAACACACAAAAGCCAAAGAGGAGGAGAAAAAAAAAAGGAGGTGAATTCAGCTTCATTGTGCCACACTCTGCTCTGAGTGTAGTCGAGCCCATCATCAGCTGCTGTTATTCTGGCAGACCTGGGGAGAGGGGAGGAGTGGAGGAGGAGGCAACAATAGAAGGCAGCGGGGAAATATAGGATGGTTGAGGCTTAGTTGGGGACAAAGAGGCAGTGGGAAGATGTGGGGGTCTGTGCACGCACTTAGATTTTTATCTCAAAAGATGGCTTCTGAAATGAAGACCCAATGCCTGCTGAGCTGTCTATGCTCTCCCCTGCACTTCCCCTGCCTTTTTATTTCAGAAATATATTTCACTGTGCAATACCCTCTGAATCTTTTCTTTGTGACTTCTGTATCTCATCTACTACTGTCAATGTCACCACCAAGTTTACTTAGGTTAATAAATATGTTTCTGAGGTTAATAAATAAGGACAATTTAATTTCCTTCCTTCTTGTGCACTTGACCATAGGTCAGTGTAGTTGGACTGTACATCTTAATGTATGTGAACAGGCTTCTGATTCAGTCAGCTCATATCTTCCAGCATTATGACTCACTCTTCCTCCTCTCCTCTTTGCTCATTGTTTTATTTTGGTTCAGGTAGGCTGCAAATATGCCTCTCCAGCCAAAAGCACAGTTTTAAAATTTCAAATGAACAGGATGCAGTTTGTTTTAAAACTGAAGAGAAGGACCACTGCTGGACAGGTATCATTGTTGATGCTTTCATGTTATTAATCAATCACTCACAAACAACATTGCTTGGATTAAACAACCATTCAAAGGTAACATGTTACCCTGATAACAGAGCACCATTTGGTGTTAAATTTAGTTCACAATTTCAAAAAGTGCTCCTTTGACTCTGGCTGACATGTGCAAAGCACACCTATCCTGAAAAGTTTCCATATTGCTTATGTTTGTACAATCCAACAGGAACTGAATGGACAATTTGAGGCACAGTGATTTTAATTTAGTTTCAGAAATGTCTATAAAATGAGGTTAAAACAACTATCACATCAATAAATGAACACTTGAACAGAGGTGGGCTCCCGTCAACGTCACAAACCTTCGTGTCTCTATGGTAATGTTCACAAGAAGGTGCCATGTAGTGTCAGTCACAGCTGTCCACTTTGTTGGGATGGCAAGTAGAAAATACTTAATTCTTTTTTTATTTTTGTGCCTTTTATGGATACCTACAGCAGAAATCCATTGAGGGTGAGACTAACAATTGTGTTGTTTCTTAAACTTGATTGAAGTGTGATGGCTCATCAACAAAGAAGAGGGGTGGTCTACTATAGCAGCTGTCCTCCTACATTTATAATAGTGTTTTTTAGCTCTGGTTTTATTGGTATAACGCTATAATTGACTACTTGGTTCTGCTCTTTCAGATCTTTTTCCACACCTCCCAGAGAGCGTTCATGAGCACATGGTGGACAGCTTGTCTATTGTGTTCTGCCTGTGCATAGATCAGAGACATATAAATGGGAATAGATGAATACAAACAGTAGATTGGAAGTTTATTGGATTATTGGACAGCTTTCATTCCTCATTGTGTCTAAATCTAAATGAGCGAGCTTATCTTAATCAACCCAGCGTCTCACCCACTTTCAATATCAACAGGCAGATCAATAGTGTATAGTTTCAGTGTTGCAGTTTAGCTTAGGGGATTATAGAGCTGGAGCTGAATTCTTGGAGGTCAGTAAAGTGATACAGCAACAATCTTATGTTCTATAAGCTCCCATCCCTATGACCTCCATCTTTGGACTTTCCTCTAGTAGACCTTAACCTAGTCCTCGTTGTTGACTAGACACTAGATGCTTTTTAAATAAATACAAACTTTAAATTTCTAGATACAAACTAATCCAGACTGGGGGCCTTTAACATGTCAAGACAGATCTCAAGATCACAGCCACAACATGTAGTTTTTCACAATGTTCAGACCAACCATGTAACATTTTGCATATAATGTCTAATAAGTAGACATTTTTGAGAGAAATAAATTTAGTTCTCTGTATTTTACAAAATGTATCTTGTTCTGAAATTCAAAATTTCTTACTTGGTTTCCTTTTGTGGTCTCCATTGTAATTCCTTTATAAACACCTTTCACTCAGTTTTTACTTCAACTCAGCGTTTCCTCTTCCTGTTTTTACATTAGGCTAGGTTTCATATTAAATTACATTAGAATAAAAATGTAAATATAAACTCTTTGTTTTAAGGTTATGAAATAAAATGTGATGGTTTTTCATCCAAACAAGAAACTGTAGATTCAAGTAAATGTTTTTGAGCAGACAAATTAAGTACATTTTCTGGGTCACAGCAATCAGGTCTTAGACTTCATATAACCCTGTTAAGATGTCCACACAGAGAATGTCAACCCAAAACAAAGTAACTTTGGATATCTCGGTTTATAAAAGGATTCTTTGTTCACCAAAAAAATGCAGCTTCTGTTTCTCCTGTCCTTTGAAATGGCACAGAGCTTCAGGCACTTTTTTGTGGTTGTTCCACATCGTTTTGCTTTGATGCACATTATCATTTTAATGTCCACTGAGGCAGACTGTGTTTGCCGAGACATGTCACAGTCTAACTATTTCAGCCGGTCTGGCCTAGAGGAGCCAGGAGGATCTGACACTGTCCAGCCATGAGCTTGAGTCAGAGCTTTAGCCACCCACTCGGTGTGACCCACATGCTCAACACCTTCTTTCATCCGTTGAAGCAGCAGCCGCCAGCCCACGCATCTTCTCTCCAGTTCACCCATGAATAAAGTCTCAGTGGTAACCTGTAACGTTGTGTTGCTTAGGTTTATTGACCATTTCAGTAAACAAGTGGGTGTGTGGAATAGATGGGTTTTATGAACACCTAGGACTGTCATATCCTGGTGTCTCTGTGGATTTGTTGTAGCAGCTCTGATTGGAACATGATATTATAGGACATTAACAAACTGTCAAAGTGGTGACAATAAATTGGCTGGTGTGTGTGTAAGGGATAATGTACAGTGTGCGGGTTATGGCGGGAGTGGTCCTGAAGGGTCTCCTCGATGATAACATCCTGCTCATTGTACATTACCCCGTTTATTACACGGCGACTTAATTAGAAAATGAATAATTTGAAACAAGATATTGACCTGGTAATTATTTTATTGATTTGAAAATAATTGATTTCTCTCACTAAAACGTAGTCTGTTGCAATCTACAGTTAAAGCTTCATCCATAGGAACTATTAACTCTGTAGCCTTCATAATATCAGCTACTAGCGGTTATTACTCACAGTAAAGAAAACATTTCCACTGATGGTAAAGTGACACAAGGTGAACAAATCAGCATGGATCAGTGCAGCAAGTTTTCCCCCTCCCCTTTGCTGGAGTCTGTTGACATTTTATTTTCCATTTACAGCTTTAAAACACCACCACATCCCGTACCAGGTTCTGTTACCTGCTTCTTGACGGGCCATCTTTCATTTGCAAGGGGCAGTTTTTGCATCTTTTAATTTCTTTTATCCATTGTTACACTCTCCTTTCTCATTATCCACAGTAAACAGGCCAGCGTCAAATTATCTGCATTTCATTTAGCTGATTGATAAACTTACAGTTAGTCCTCCAGAGACTGAGACTAGAGCGTTCTCCCAGTCTGCCTTTCTGGAAACAGTTTGTTCTTCTTAACAACAGTTGCTATTGAGGGATAGCAGACCGTTGCTATGCAAATTAGCAAATTGGAATCAAGTATGGAACACAGCCGTACAGAAATAATAAATATTGACTGTGCAGTTGGCTGTTGTTTTGGGTTGAATCACAAACTTTTTAAATTGTATTTATTTAGGTCATTTTAAAACAGACAAACAAGCAGACAACCTAAGAGCCATTGCAATAACATCAATTTAGCAAAACCTCTCCACTGACAACCAACTGCAATAGATGACTAACATCCACCACAACTCTTCTGTTCATGTTATATCTTTTTTGTTGCAGCTTCACCCCAGCAAATGAAACTTAATACAAGTCCTTTAATGATTGTAAACGTGTTAAAGGTAACACTGAGAGGCTTTGAGATGCTTTATTTCCAACAGTGATGACTGTAGAAGGCCCTCTCTCTTGTATTATGACACACCCACACACATTTACAGAACCAGGCAATTAAGGGCTATAATAAAGTGTTCTCTTTTATAC